TATTATCCAATCATGTGGCAGAGGTCAAATGCCTTTTTGTAGTCAATCCATGCCACATTCAGGTTGGTCTTCCTTCTCTTGCAGTTTTCCAAGATCATTTTGTCTATTAGGAGTTGATCTTTTGTTCCTCTACTATTGGGGCGGTTTCCTTTCTGCTCAGGTGGAAAGAGATTGTTTTCAACTAGATGCTGTTTCACTGCATCAGCTACTACACTAGTTAGTAATTTGAAAGTTGTTGGTAAGCAGGTAATTGGCCTGTAGTTACCTGGTGTTGCCCCTTTTGCTGGATTTTTCATTATTAGGTAGGTTTTCCCAGTTGTTAGCCACTTTTCAATTTCTCCTCCTTGTAGTATATTGTTGAACTGCTTGGCAATGAGTGGGTGTATAACAGTTAGATGTTTCAACCAAAACCCATGCAGTTCATCTTCACCTGGTGCTGACCAATTTTTGATTTTCTTGCTCTTTTTTCTACCATTTTTTGTTATTACTAGTTCTTTCATTTCAACTTCTGTTTTATTTGCATCCACCTCTTTTAACCAAGCCGCATCCTTGTTGTATTTCTTTGGGTTATCCCATATCTGCTTCCAGAACTGCCACTGTTTCTTCCTTGTCAGGTACTGACTGATTCATTGCAGTTTCTCCATTGATGGATTGGTAGAAACATTTCTGATTGGATTGAAATTGGAGGTTCTGCCTATAGTTTGCAATTCGAGCTTCATATCTACTGATTTTCCTGGCTATAGCTGTTATTTGTTGCTTTATTATTTCCAGTGCTTCCTTGATCTTCCTTGTTTCTAAGTGGTATTTCTTGATTAGGTATTCTTTGGTCTTCTTGTTCTTCAGCTTCTTTTCTTTCATCTGTTCTAACTTGCTTGCATGTGATCTTAACTTGCTGATCTTATTTTCTAGTCTAACCTTCCATTTTTCTGGTGCACTGTTTGTTGTTTTTCTTTTTTGTTGATTTTACATCCCAGGTATTCTGTTATAACTGCAGCTGTGCTGTACATTAGTTTGGTTTGTTTCTTGCAATGAATTGGTGCTTATACTTGATATTGCAATATTTGCATCTTTTAATGCTTGTGCTAGCTGTTTCTTTGGAACAAGCTTCAATGCAGGTAGCCTTATTCTGTTGTTTTTGTGCTGTTCTAGATGCTCAGTTATTCTTTGTTTCAATTCTTTTATTTCTTTAGTTAGAGGGTTTTGTTCTTCCTGAGGAAGAGGTGCCTGGTTTCCAAATGAGAACAGTTGTATATCTCTACTGGATTCCTTCACTGCCAACTCCCCCTGGTTTGCCTCTACATTCTGAATTACTTCTGGTAAGGCTTTGATTTCTTTGCCCTGGGTAAACCTTTGCAGTTCGTCCAATTCTGTTTCTGTGAATACTTTATTTCGTGTTATAAATCGGCGTTGATCTGCTAGTCTCTGTTCTGTTATTTCTGATTCTGGATGTTGTTCTTTCCAGAACTGGTGCATTCGTTTTAGATATCCTCTTCTTGTTGGACTTGATCTGTAGTAACAGATCATTATTTCTTTGTTTTCCATCACTGTGTATCTGCGACAGGTAAACACCTTTTCTTCCAGTAGTTCTGCAGCTTCTGGCCCTGGTTGCTCAGCCAACAGTCCTGAGTCCTGTAACCCATTTTTCACCAGATATCCAGGAACTCCAATATCTAGTGCGGACCTTGTTAACCCGGGCGACGTCCGAGCCGGTATGGCATTCTGCAATTTACGTCTCACCATATTTTTTATGGGAGAGACACTCTTTGTCTGACTCCTCTGATGAGACCTGTCCAGTATGGTTGAACCTCTGGCATAGCTCTCATCTTCCTCAGAGTACACAAGCCCCACAACCACGTCAAGGTAGTGCCTCACTGGGGGTTATTATTATTATTATTATTATTATTATTATTATTATTATTATTATTATTATTATTATTATTATTAATTCCCCAGACAGCCGTGGAATTCTGGGAATTGAAGTCTACCTATTTTACAGTTGCCAAGGTTGAGAAAACCTGGTCATGAAGTTCCATAAAGCCAAGCTGTCAGGGATTAATACGTTGCATGCAAAAGTCCCCCTGGCATGGCCAAACAAGAGGGAAAAGAGGTATCCATTGAATAAGGGTGAGGATCAAGAAAATCAAATGATAGTAATGGCTATGTGATTGAAATCCTGCTGATTTTTACATGCAGAAAATATAAATCCATTCTCTGTACGTTTATATTTTTAAGATCACTCAGTTTCATTTCTTCTTGTTGACATTTGCCAGCTTCAAGCTGGTGAGGGCAAGCTTGCTTCTGAAACCCTACAGAGTTAACAGGGACCGTAGTTTCAACTCCACTCCCAGCCATGGAATTCGTTAATAACTTTGGTCCAACTGCCCTCATTCAGCAAAGCCTACCTCACAGGGTCATTGTTGTGAAGATAATAAGGTGAATTTCATGTAAGTCTCAAAGATGCTTTTTCCAAAAGTCAACTGGATTTGTTTTTTTCTTTCAAAATGTTTCGCTTCTCATCTAAGAAGCTTCTTCAGTTTTACTGAAGAACTGATGATGCTTCTTAGATGAGAAGCAAAACTTTTCAAAGAAAAATCCCCAAGAAAGTCTAATTGCTTTTTGGAAAAAAGCACCTTTGGGACAATCATGACCTGGATGATTGAGAATCTCCATAGACAACTTCATGTAAGGTGCCTTGAGTCTCTGGAGAAAATTGGCTATGTGTTTATGAAATAATTAATTTCTTGCAAGTAGCTGACGTACAACAGAAAAAGTAGATTCAGTCTTACCTAATCAGTTCTCTTTCGTGAAATCCTTTACCAGCAATCATAGAATCAGAAATGTTAATCTTTATGTGGCGATTGTATTTGGTCATGAGGTTGTAATTCTCACATACACACAGTAACAAATTCTGTACAGGCAGTCCTTGACTTACGAACACGAACTGGGACCAGGATTTCCATTCTTAAGAGATGCAGTTGTTAACAGAATCATGCCTGATTTTACAACCTTATAGCTGTGGTCATTGAGTAAATGCTCAATAGGAACAGAGAAAATCATTAGGGCAATTGATAGAGGTGTTTGGCACCCTGACAATCAATAGAATGTAATCAACAACAAGATCTGAAACTGTTTAACTAGAAGCTTTAAATCAGCATGATAAAGAATCTGGAACATGGTGAATTTTTAGACATATTAATGGATGTTACTTCTTACATAAGGAATTTCTTTTACAAAGTGAACATGATTCTGTCTAAGAAGAGACCACACCTTACAACAAAGAAAACTGGCATTGTCAAAAGAACAAGGACAGAGGCATGCAAGAATAATGTAGAAATTGCTGATATTTAGGTTACCACATCTAACTTTTGCAACGTAACTCTTGCACAAACCATTTTAAATTTCTCCTGTAAAATTTGGTGCGTTGCAAACTCTAACCCCAAATGTGATGTAACAATTTCTTCCATGGAGCAGAAGAAAAACACCTGGCAAAAGATTTGTGTCTCTATTATTTACTTTATTTCTGTTGCTATATTTTTGACTTTGCAGATAAAATTTAAAAATACAGTTTAAAAGTGCTCTTTGCATTTTGAGAGCAAATCATAAGTAAATTCTGCGTTCTTTTAACCAATGTTTTTTCCCTGCAAGGATAATGTACTTTGTTTTGACAACTCTCCTCCCAAGTTAATCACAGGGCTGTTGCATAGCTTTGGTATACAGGAACAGAAGTGTTTCTTTCTTTTTAAAATGCGCACTGCTTTCAAAAATTATTCTGTTTTCACATAATATATCATCACAGTCAAACAAAGTAACAAGCAAAGTTTATGATTTTTTTTAAAAGTCCCATTTGGTTTTTGAGAAGATGAAGCAGCCAAGGAAAATTCCTATTCCACACATTAGTGAGCATCTTAAGTGATTTGTACTATAGAACAGTACAAATGTTGTAATTTCTACCTTATCTCAGGTAGTAACTATCAACTGCACACTGATTTACCACAGAGCTAAAAGAGTTCCAGAATGATATATGCTCAAAACTATAAGCAATTGTGCAAGGAAGGAAGGAAGGAAGGAAGGAAGGAAGGAAGGAAGGAGGGAGGGAGGGAGGGAGGGAGGGAGGGAGGGAGTTCTATTATTGCTACTGAACCCATGAAGCTGAGAGGGGTGTGTTAAGTTTTTCTTATGTCCACAGTTCTGGTTAAAATTGTGCCATAAATGCTGCTATTTGCAGCTCTTGGTGTCAGAAGTCCATGTCACTGGGTAGCAAATAAACTGGAGAGGAATTTTCTTGCCTCTTGTCATGATTTTGGTATAAGTCTCTTCATGGCATGATAGGCAGCAATTAAATTTAATAAATGAAATAATTAAAAAGTACCAAGTCACACAGCACTCCCTCAAAATAAATGCCACATCTGTGGCACAAGCAAGAAAGCTGTTGGGAGACCAGTCCATAAAGATTCCCCTTCTCTTATTCTCTCCAACTGGGCTGCAAACAAACTTCATGCATGTATGTGCACACACACACACACACACACACACACACACACACACACACACACACACGAACACACAGACACATACCGTATTCAGTGACGGGAACTACAGTTCAACTAGTTTCTGGTTTCATGTTCATGAAATCAGATTAAACTCCACTTCATAAAGTTGTAGACCAGTCTGTAACCATTCTTATTTTTCTTCAGTTAAAACAGAAGCTGCTCAGGAGGGTCAACTCAAAGCAAACAAGGCCATTGGTGTTATTCTCCATCTCCACCAAAGGTTCTTCTGCCAAAGAATAAGATCAAGACCCCTAAAGAGGATTTGCTTCATTTTCCTTTGTATGACCAGATGTGTCTCAAGGGACTGAATGACAGAATACAGGCTGCGTGGGAGGAAAGAGGAGTCACATAACTGGATCCTTCTGTTTCTAGACAAAGGCAAGCAAGGTGGGGCCAGTGGAGATTTAAGGATGGTAAACTCTGTGGAAATAAATTGCTCTTGATCTAACAGCACCACCTGCAACCAGCGAGACCTAGCCAGATGACACCTATTCCCTGTAGGGATGTGCAGCTCCTCAAGTTATTTCTACTTCTACTGATACTTACAGGTAAGGAAAGGAAACCTGGGAATAAAAAATGAAGTGAATGATGGGAACAGGAATAGGTCAGCATCTATTCCATAAGATCTATGTTTATCTATTTGTGATCTGATGTCTAAGATAGTTTTTTACATTTTAACACAAGGAAGCAGACCATGAGGCATGGACAAGTATGGTCCTCCTCCTCCTCCTCCTCCATCTTGGTCTTGGTCTTCAGAATTACAAGTCTGGCCCTACCATTAATCAAACTGAAGCAGCTGTCAGGGCAGTGAATTCCAGGTTGGAGATGGGGCCAAGATATTGGAAGACCATTGGCTCATCATGATCCTCAAGTAGCCAGATTCAACTGTTGGTCAGGTCAAATTATTTTCACCAAACTACGTAGCTGTGTGGTACTATCTACAGTAATCTATCCAGAGTTTCTTTTGTTAGATAAGCAGTTATACTCTACAAATTTGTTAAAGAAATCTATCATCTATCTATCCATATCTGATTCAATATTGTAAATAGCTCAATATGTGCTGAAATAAACCCACAGCTCTTTTTCCCAAGATCTGTCAGGAAACAAGAGTTGTGTTCACACCATGTTTTTAACTTGGATTATTGAATTAAACCTGTTTTTGAGATTTGCACACTACAATGTACCACAAATTAACCAAGTAGGTGAGACTTGTGTCCTGAGCCACAAAAAAGAATCAAGATTTAGACCAACCAAACTTAATACTGTCTGGAAATGCAATCACTAGGTTTTGGCTAAGTTGTTTAACTATACTGGGAGAACACAGTGTGTTATGTACATGCTGACCTATTTGCAGCATCTAGTAACATGCCATTGCCTTTGGAACAAGTGCAATGTCATGCATTGATTCAAACAGGGAAAGACTAATCCTGCAAGCAGCATAATAATAACATGTTGGATCTGGGAGTATAGTTCCAAATTTGGGTCTGAATTATGAATGAAACATAAAAAAATTGAATGGCTGGATCTTCACTGTGTGCTAAAATAGTCTAGATTAAAATAACTCCATGATAATATCATCACACAAATAATACAACATATATTTCTATGATGCAAATATGTAATGTGACTTTTGCATGATAATGTCATTGTGTGCATGTCATTATTTTGATGTCAATTTATGGATGCTACTATTTGTGGGAAACCAGTTTGGCTGCTCGTACTTAATCTGATGTTCTCCAGATCTGTGAAAAGAATGCATCCCAAAGTATTTAGAAGACATTCAGATCAGGAAACGTGGAGCCAAGTTGATGTTGGCCCTGTCCCCTTGCTGATTTAGTGGTAAGACTTTGCTAATTGCTGAGGGATCTTTCTTTCCAGGGACTGCCCAGGATGAACCTCGGATCCTTGGAGGTCAAGAGTGCCCCCAGCATGCTCAACCTTTCCAGGTCATCCTCTCCAACAGGAAGGAAAATGAGCCTGATGTCCAGTGTGGTGGAGTCTTGATAGACAAAGACTGGGTACTTACTGCAGCTCACTGTGACCAGCAGGGGTAAGAAAATGTTGAGTTGGGGCAAGGAAGGAAAGGCCAGAAGCTTTGTCTCTGAATCACCAATTTCTGGATTTCCAGCAATAATAGTATCAATGGGATATAAAAATCACCCACTTTGAAATAGCTTTAGCATTTAGCTTTAGCTTTAGCAATAACCCAGGGTTATTTCTGAGTACATCCTAGTTGTATTGTAGAAATGTATTTATTCTGAAATACTGAGATAGAAGACAATTGTGTTTTTCAGTGATAGCCGTACCCAAAGAATAAATAATGTTTACCTTGAAGCAGGAGAGGTTAACATAAACTGAACAAATGCAGAAGGGTGACAGAGTCTTCAGCAGCAAGTAATAACAAGGGGGGGAAATGAATTTGGCATATTTGACTGATTACTCACAAGGAAGTCCCCCTGGGTACAGTGAGCCTATCAAGGTAAAAATAAATAGCAGTATAGGTTTAATTAGCCAAAACAATTCAGTAGCCTAATAACTCTGAATGTTGGTATTAAGATGCTTGACAATATTCTATTGAGGAATTATCAACATCCTCACTAAACTACAATTCCCAGGATTCTTTGGGACTGAGGATGAGAGTTAAACTAGCCTAAAAGCAATGTAAATGGAAGTGGCCTCGAAGGTTGCAAATCATGTACCTGAAATGCAAGTTTGGGAAGTCACTCCCTACTGGTGGCCAATATGGGAAGCAAAGAGGAAGATTAAGTAGATTGGCCCAACAGGGTTCTTTTGATGACACTTCCTTACAGCTAAGGTGACCCAACTTTTTTACAATGAGAAGGAGGACAGAAATAAATTGAAGAAAAAAAAGTGAGTCTAATGTGTGCATGTGTGCCGTGTTGTGTTTCGGTAAGAAGTAAACAAAGCCATTTGTGTGTGGCGCACTCTTGTGCGCGGCACACTCTCTCAAAACAATTCTCCTGTGTGGAGCGCACACGTCTCATAATTGCATCTCACCGCACTGTACCGAGCCTTGATGAATCGTCATGTCAAATACAAATAGTCATATCACATGCAACCGATTGGATCGGGATCGATCGAATATGGAGATTTACAGATTAGTCTTCAAATATCGAAAAGGAGGACATGTAGGAGGACACTTTTCAGAGAGAACAGAACTTACAAAAGAAGGACTGTCCCCCCTAAAGGAGGACGATTGGTCACCTTATTACAGCATTTCTTTTTCTTCTAACCATGCAGGGATATTCATACCTGGATGGGTGATTACAGCCTTCGAGACAACAAGGGCTTTGAGTAATGCATCACCTCTGTGCAGAAATTCCAACATCCAGCCTTCAATCCCATCACACACGACAGTGACCTCATGCTGCTAAAGTTGCACAACTCCACCATTATCAACCAGTATGTCCAACCCACTGAACTGGCTACCGAATACGCTCAGCCTGACACTCCTTGTGAGGTATCGGGCTGAGGCACCATCAAGTCACCACAAGGTACAGTTGTCAGACGGTGTAGTTGACTAGAGCAGCATTTCTCAACTCTGGCAACTTTTAAATTATGTGGAGTTCAACTCCCAGAATTCTTGAAATATTTTTGAATTCTGAGATATTTCTGATACACCAGTCTTTGGGGGTGAGGAAGGCCTATGAGAGGTGGTAAAGGGAGGTGAAGAAAGACATTGCTAAAGCATCAAAGACTGCTTGAGCAGGTCTAAGTCCCAATAAATTCTTCTTACTGGATTATAATATCAAAAATTGTTGTTGTTTTTTTATTGGTAGTTGGAATACCCTGACCTTCTACAGTGTGCACAGATCTACACAATATCTCATGAAGACTGCGAACAGGCATATCCAAGCTTTATCATGGAAAACATGCTATGTGTTGGTGTGAGAGGAGGAGGTGTGGACTCTAGTCAGGTGAGGGGATTTCCATAGCCCAACATTTGTCACAATAGCAGCTGCAAGCTCTCTCTCTCTTCCCTCTACCCACCCAGGAAGGGGCAACCTAGGCTTGTATGCAATCTCTGAAGTCCCTTGTGGCAATCCTTTTCTGCAGAACAAGCTAGGTGGTGGTCTTCTGAGGTGGAAAACACATGTGAGGCAGTGTATTATAATTGGGGGGGTGAAACAAAGCTCCAGCCCCAAATCTCAACTCTCCTTCCACATGAATGGCTATCTGTATGAACACACCACCTGTGGTCCTAAGCCTCAGAAAGGCATGGTCTGAGGCTGCTATTAGCCGCTCCCACACTGTAAAGCTCCAGACCGCCAGATCTGCTGCTTTTTAAAACCATAGCTTTGTTGGGGGTGTGATTCTCCTGTGATATTTCTATGTCCACCAATAAGAGTAAATTTGGAATGTTCTGCTGGAGAGAAAATCCATAGCCACCTCCTCAGGCTGTTTTTTCTATTATACCAATAAAGGATGTAAAGATGATCTATCATCAGTAGATATCAATAGCACATTTACTCAACTCAGTCTGTTCAGTAAGACGCTCAAATAATGTTATTTTCTTTTTAAAAAATCACATTTGCTTTTCAATGTGACTTTGTTCACATACTTATATTGATTTGATTATGTACCAAGACATCAGTGTTGACTGTGACCACATAGATTTTCTCCATGATGATCTGTCTATACCCAAGTAGTGTATCTTTTATATAAGGGCGCAGTGATCTAGAGATGAAGATGCTTGCATCCCATTTGGAAGGTTGAGATTTCAATCCTAGGCCGCTGACAGATGTTTTTCCATCAGGGCACAAAGAGAAAATATTTGCTATGAACTCTGCATAGGCATCAGGGAGGACATCTGGCCAGTAAATGCTCACTGCCATTCAGTTGCCCCAACCCCACCCTGAAGCAAGGGATTACAGGGTCAGGAAAAGTGTTTGTGTGTGTGCGCATATATCTTCATGTATTACACTTTTCTTTTTTCCTACTAATTTGGGAAATCAATAAATATAAATTATAGTAATATAATTACTATAAATAAAATAATTTCCATTTTTGTATGCAAAGTCTTCCAAATGCACAATTCTTATGCACGTTTTATATTTTTTTTCATTCAGCGAAGGTTTTGAAATGGGATATTAGCACAATCTTTGCACCATGTGTCACTTTATAATATGTCACACCAATCCAATGAAAAACATGGATTTCTCCGACATTACCAAGATCTTTTTGCCAATCATAAAATGTAGACATCTAAAACAAACAAATCACCTATGTAGAACATGTTTATCATTCTGTGCATAATTGACAGTAAGCTTCACAGAATTCAGAACTTTAGAACCTCCATCAGCTTGCAGTCTTTAATTACAATTTAATTATTAGTAAATAGTACACTACAGTATTTAATTATTAGCCTGATTAAGCTGCTGCATATTAACAGAGGGCCTTTTCAAAGGGAATTTCTGAATTCCTTTCTTAATCAGCTTCCTTCTAACAGCTTTTTGCTTATGGATTTTCTACCAGTTTTTTTTCTTTCTACCATTGTTTTATTTTCTTGTATTTCTTGCAAGACCCCCATGCTGCATGGCTCACCTACCAGTATGTTATTGTTCCATGTTTTGGCCAGGTTTCTGAAGAGGCATGAAATTCGGATAGAAATCATTTACTGCAACAAATGAACTTTCTTTGCTCTGCAGGGCGACTCCAAAGGACCCCTAGTTTGCAACAACAGACTCCAAGGGGTCATCTCCTGGGGGATGCAAATCTGTGCCCAACCTGGGAAGCCTGGAGTTTATACAAACATCTGCCAATTCACCAACTGGATTCATGACACCATGTAGAGAAATTCAGGCAACCAAGCTGCATATTCCCATTAGCGCAATAAGAAGACTTCACTGTATTGGGATCCCAGTCAGAACAAGTGCTCAATGAAATTAAGTATTAGCTTTCTCCCTAAGCATCTTGCCAGCTTTGATTATGTCCCTTCTTCTGTGCTAGCTAGTTAATTTGGTGGTGAAAGCAGAGGCATCATATACTGCTACTGATATAACCTTAGAACTGAAAGGTTAGAAATAATAATCACTTCCATTTATATTCAAAAAGTACATACGGTATATTTCAAAAACATATTTTTTTAAAAAAGACTCCATTATTTCCATGATCCCACCCTGCCCTCCCAGTGCTGGGCAAAGACACTGAGTCTTTTCCAAAAAAGGATTTTTATAGGGTTGAATGCAGGATATGGTCAAAAAGTCCATTTGATCCAATGAATACTGTGGCATCACTTAGGTTTTGGACTTCACAAATGGGCACGGCTGCCAGGTGAAAGTCAGAGACATTTTAGTTGGCAGAACTAGATTTGGGCAAGAAGTTGCATTGCTGGGCAGAGGGTGCCCTCTTGTGGCACCTGGTCTCCCCAGCAGCAGTCTTTCAGTTGATTTGCTCTACAAGTGCTTTCCATACAGATAGTCCTCGGACTTATGATTACAACTGAGCTCAGAATTTCAGTTGTAACTCAAGACATCACATGATAGGATGTGACGTTACTTCATGAACAGTTGATAAGCAAATGCCGCAGTTGTTAAGCAAATCCATTTTCCCCAATGGTTTTTTGGGGGGAGGGGGGGCTGGAAACTGGAAGTAAATGCGGAAACTAGCAAAAAATAACCCATTGCAAATTGTAGTTACATGACTGTGGGATGCTGCAAACAGTTGTAAAGGTGAGCCAGTGGCCCAAAATGCAATCAGATGATTGCAAGAGGGGTGTGTGGTCATCGTAACTCTGAAAACGGGTCATAAATAGCTCTGGGAAAGTTCATCATAAATTAAAATACTGATTTTGCAACTATCCAACCTTTATGAGGTGAAGTCATAGCTGGAGTTACAAGCAAACAGTAATCTAGATTTAGTTGGGTGTAGACCACTTTGTCTGAATTGCACCAGCTGCAGTTCAAGATGTAATCCAATCCTAAACCGCAGCCATTATTAACTAAGTGTTGTAAAATGTTTCATAACCTATGATTAAAAGGTTCCTTAATTCAGCCAGCCCATAGTTAACATAATGATTTGGAGGAGAAAAAAATTACAATTACAAAAGTTCACCCGTGTTGCCTTAAATTATGGTTTGACGTGAACTCTAAACCTGGAGAATAATAAAAATTTATGTTGCGTATGCTGGGACAAAAACAGAAATAAAGATGGCTCTTCCTTTCACAAACTGGAAGACAGAGCCTGAAAGGAGTGGTGGTGTTTTTGTAAAACAACATATGAGCCTAGAATGTTACAACACTAAGGAGAATAAACTTCCACTTCTGGCTCAATGCACAACTTTGCTTCTCCAGGGTCACAAATTATTATTTTACCTGGATCTTCCTAGAGCAGGGGTATCAAACTGCCGGCCCAGAGGCCGGTTACATCATACAGAGGCCGCGCCCACCACAGCTCCGGCAATGCAAAAAAGTCATGATGTGTCGCAACACGTAACTTGATGTGGCAAGTTTGACACCCGTGTCCTAGACATAACAATATCACACATTATTGCAGAAATGCGCACATGGGCCCTTCGCAATGCTCGACATTTGTCCATAAGGGCTTATGGATACTGTAGTCCAAAACATCTGAAGGATACCAGACTATCTACCCTTGTTTCAATTCTGGGACCTATCTGGTCTGTGACCCATAATAAAGATACCTGACTTTATTCTATGGTTGACCTGAACAAATGACAGAAACGAATGATGATGATGATGATAATAATAATAATAATAAAGTTGTAAGGGTCCTTGAAGGTCATCTAGTCCAACCTCCTGCTCAGGCAGGAAATCCTATACCCTTTCAAACAAATGGCTGTCCAGTCTCTTCTTAAAAACTTCCAGTGTTGGAGCATTCACAGCTTCTGGAGGCAGGTTGTCCCACTGATTAATTGTTCTAACTGTCAGAAAATCTTACTTGATAAGACTTATTAGTTATTGCAGCAAAATACACCCAATATGGATGGATAGTTAGATTTGGACATAAAAGTAAATTTAATGACAAAATAAAAGCATGAGTTTTAATAAAAATGAAACCACTTTGAACCCACTCCATTAGATGCAAACTGTAAGGACCCACCCCACTTTACATCTTAAGAAGGCAGAACTCTTGGAATATCTCTTCCAACAGGCATCTTTATTAAGAGAAGATGGTTGCAGGCGTTCTAGACAGGATTTGAGGGGCCAACCCCTACCATTCAAAGTTTTAAGTGTTCCCAAGCAGCCTCCACCCCACCGTCCTTCCAGCGACAATCCCAGGTGTTACATTTCCACCCCCTTTTCCTCACGGCAGGCAGAAGGGAGACTTTAGAGAGTAGTATATGAAAGGTGATGGCCATATTGTTATGGTCAGTCCTCTTGGTGAGATCCACATTCAGTCCCTTTGAAGTTTTAATGAAGGAAGTGAGAGCCATAAAACCCCTTTGCTCATCCCCCTTCCCCTTTGTAGTATGACAGAATCCAGAGAGGGAAGAAACGGGGTTTTCCATAGTCGATAACTAGAAATGAAATATAATTGGATTCTGACACAAACAATATCTCTTTTATCTCTTCTTTTCAGAATTCATTAAATTCATTAAAATTCATTAAAACAAGTCCAAATTATATGGAAACCCATAGTAAAAATTCAAAAGTTTTCCATTAATTTCTGATTCTCAAAAGCCTATATTTCTTTCTTCCAAATCAATCTGCTGATGTCAATAAAGTATTTGATCTACCATAAAAACTACTATTTAAAAAACAAGGCTTTTATTACAACTGCAATATCAAAACTATACAGCGCTCCATAACTGCCACAGGTATGTCAGGTGCACCAGGAATATGATCCCATCACTCAGTTCAATCAAGAAAAAGGATTATCATTCTAATGTCTCATCTTCGTCTTCATCTTTGGAAGCATAGATAGCCTGATTCCGCCTTTTGATTCTCTTTGGGCCAACTGTTCCTTCTTTGTTCTCATCACTTAAGCGCTTCAAAGGCTTCCCATCAGCGCTTTGCTCCTCTGCCTGATTTCCATTGCTGGATTTCTCCAGTTCACCTTCTACAACGTCCAGAGTGTCATTAGGGGACACTACCATAGAACCAGGCAGGATTCTGATATCAGAAAAGTTTTCTGAGATATTGCAGGAAAGATCAGATGATGGTCCTTCTGAAGTCTCCAAATCATCATCATCACAGCTATCATCATCCAATAATATTTCATCAGGGTTGACAGAAAATAAACTAGAGACATCAGCACTGGACTCCATCATTGATCCAGTAGTATCTATTTCTTTTTCTTCTTCTTCTTCCTCCTCCTCCTCCTCCTCTTCACCCTGGTGCACATCATCTCTGTGCTCTTCCTTCCGTTGTTGAATTTTAGCATTAATGTCCACAAGACCAAACCGGGCACAAAACTCTGTAGTCTGGGGGCTAATTCTATGAATCAAGTCAGTCTTTTGCTGAGACTTGTTTGAATTATAACAAGCCTCTGTAATGCTGAAGTTCTGGGGAATCAAAAGCTCATGGTTGACCTCTTCCAAAACATTCTTGATATCTTCTTCTGTAACACTGTAGTCCCACCTGCAAAAGGTGAAAAGCTCAAAGTTTCAGTGAAATAAGCACTCCCTATTCCGTATCCCTCTACATCAGGGGTGTCAAACTCAATTTCATTGAGGGCCGCATCAGCATTGTGGTTGCCCTTGGGGGGGCGGGGGTGTGTGGCCAGGGTGGGTGCAGCCTACTGGGTGGGTGTGGATGGAGTGGGTGTGGCCTACTGGGTGGGCATGGCCAGCTCTACATCGTTCATATCAAGGGTGCCTGTGGGGGCCTGGGCAGGAGTGGGACAGATCTGAGGGTCTCTGGCAGAAGGGGGTGAGACCAGGGCAAGCGCCATGGCATGGTCCATTTCTTCATTCCTTACAAAGGGTGACACCTCCCCAGCATGCACCCAGGGGGCGGGGCTGACATGGCAGGGGCTGGTTCCTCGCTGTTTCTAGACGGCTTGTGGAGCTAAGACTGATTGTGTTTCAGCATAGATGGCCACCACAAAATTATACATTGGCTCCCAGCCAGCCTGGGCCAGGGCCAAGGCAGTGGGGGCCGTTCCCTGTTTCCAGGATGGCTTCACGGTCCACATGAAACCACTTCACGGGCCGCATCTGGTCCCCGGGCCTTGTGTTTGACATGTCTGCTCTACATGTTTTAATCAGGAGCTAAGAAATTGCGGAATTCCGTAAGTTCCTTACTACTAACCCTTACTAGTGGCCGTTCTTCCTACAGCTACCAAAAGCAGTAATTCAGCAACATCTGAATTACCATAGGTTGTTTTTGATTTTTACTTAACAGGGCTGTCATCCATATGAGCAGAAGCTGGTAGACACAATGTATGCATTACATACAAAGTCTTTGGTTCAGTCCAAGTAAGGCTGAGAAACCTGGTCTACACATCTACACTAAAGTTCTCTAGAACTTCTGACTTAATTTACAGCCCACAGGATTGCAGTATACCTACCTTTCATGCAGTCCATTATTTTCAGGCATGTTCCAGTAAGAAGGAGAGACATTAATGAGATCATTGGTAGCCTTCAGAACAGCAATCCATTCAGGGTCATATTCCAAACAATCGGGTGCACTCGGGTTGTGCTCAATTTCTACAATCTTAGAGAAGAATGAGAAATCAGAGACCTCTTGACTCCCACAGCAAGGAAAAAACAGTCACGAACTTCAGACAATACAACTCCTTGACTTGCAACAGTTCATTTAGTGACTGAAGTTACATCAGCACTGAAAAAAATGACTTATGACCTTTTTTCACACTTAACGACCACACTTAACAACCCCATGGTCATGTGATCAAAACTGAGATGCTTGGCAACTGACTCATATTTATGATGGTTGCAGTGTCTCCTTTTGTGACCTTCTGACAAACAAAGTCAATGGAGAAGCCAGATTCATTTAATAACCATGCTATTAACTGAACAGCCATGTTACTTGATTCACCTGACATTCACTTAATGTCAAGAAAGTTCATAAATGGGACAAAATTCACTAAACAACTGTCTTACTTAGTAACAAAAATTTTGGCCTCCATTGTGGTCGTACGTCAAGGACTGCCTGTACATCAGAAAGCTAACAGTAACGTAGGCATACAGAATCTTTACCTAGGGGTCAAAAATGACCTTAGTGGGTTTCAATTTGGACCCGTGAGCCTTAAGGCTTTCATTCCAGGTTATTTATAGTACTCACTTCTCCCAGGTTTGTGTCAAAGTATAAAGCTGGAGAGGCATACATTGGGGAGGGAAGACCTATGAGTGGAAATCCTCTTTGCTCTTGCTGCTGACTATAGAGTAAGAGTCTCACATGTAAATTGATGAGACACACACTCTCAATGTATGCCATGCTTATAGTTAAAATCCTTCTCCCAGGCTGAGTCAATCAAGTGAGGGTGGCCTTCAAGCGTTGATCAATGAAATTAAGGCAAATATATGTGTCCCACAATAATGTTGCAGGATCCAATCTGGGTTGTTCCCCGGGAGCAGAGGTTTTGTTTCCCGAACTTTTGGACTGTGCTGGAGCCCATCCTCAGGGAACTTCTCTCTACCAGAATGTGTTACATTCTGGGCTCCAGTACAAGTCCTAAAGCTCGGAAGACTAAACCTCTGCTCCGGGTGAACAACCCAGATTGGATCCTGCAATGAAATTAAGATCAGATGCAAATGCAAATTCAGATCAGGTTAAAAAAAATGAAAGCAGATCCACAAAGTAGTTAGCTAATCATTTTGCTCTCCTTCCAAAGTTTATTATATCTTACAGATTAGGATATGCGTCAAAACTGAAAAACTGAGGTTGTTTTACCTGAAGGAAATCCCTGTGGGGCAGGCATTTATCCAGAGCCAGAAATTTGGTAATTTTGGGTTGCTGTTCACTGTTATCAGCCTAAAAAGCAAGAACAAAGACAATCATATTGTGAAAGGCCTCCTCACCACCATCTTTTTTAAGCTACAGTGATTAAGCATTAATGATTTCTCGCTTCTATTGCCTAAATACCACTGTACTCCATTGTCATCGGTATTCTGTAATGTAATGTTTTCCTCAACCTTGGCATCTTTAAGATATGTGGACTTCAATTCCCAGAATTCTGGGAATTTAGCATATGGCCTGGGGAATTCTGGGAGTTGAAGTCCAGATATCTTACAGTTGCCAAGGATGAGAAACATTGCTCCAATGTATTATTTGCTTTTTATAATGTAATAAAACTTAGAATGAATTTAGAATGAAATAATAAATAACCCCTCTTAATATTTTGTTGAAATCTCAAGGGAGTGAGGAAACTGGAAATCTGGGAAGTAAAGAACAAAGATTAACTTTGAGTCCTGGGCACAAGGAGTGTTCCGTTGTTTCACCCAAGCTCAAATATTTGAGGACTAGTTACTAAACTCATGGATATGGAGAATTTGAATAGTCTGTTACCTCATGTTGGGTGAATACCAGCACTCCAATTATACTCTTCCCCAAACAACCTTCCCAAATATCAGTCAGATCTCTCCCATTATTTCTTTCTTGGGGCAAGGTGAACTGAGATAGTGAGATAGGCACCATATAAACTTAATAAATAAACAAAACATTTTTGTTGATGACCAACTAGAAAAACCAAATTTTTTCAAAGGAGCATTTTCATCTGGAGAAGGGAACTTTCCTATAAATTCTGGGTCCTATTTATCAAACACCCTCATCTTAGGGAGTTCAGGAGAGAGTTCAGGAAGGAACACTCATTGCTAATCTTAGCAATGAGTGTTCCTTCCAAGGTCCATATGGATCTCATCCTTTAAGACAACAGGCCAGGAAGTGGTGTGAATCCCACCATTTGAATGGATATTATTTTACTATTGTGGATTTCCCCTTTCCCACAATTTGGCCATTCTTTACTGTTGCTTTAATTGATTTTATAACTTGTTTTAACCTACTGTAAGCTGCCTGGAGTCAAGGGTGAGGGGGTAACCTTAGAAATTGAAATAGATAGTAAGTAAGTAAGTAAGTAACAGTCTTGGTATTCCCTTAAGAAGTTGATATCTTAACTATTATAGTTCGAAACAGACTACCTTTGAGTACTAACAATATTCCTGTGAAACATTTTGCAAAATTGGGAGATTATGTCCACCGTTAAGGTTCCCCAGTTTTCATTACAATGTACTCAGCCTACAAAAATCAACCCTCCATCCTGTACATTTCTTACCTGATGCTGCATTAATGCTGCGAACTTGACGTGCAAATGAGCTGAAAACCAGTAACTGGGTTTCAAGTGCTGCAGAAGTTCTAATGCTGCTGGGCTCCCTAAAGTGTTGTTCTCCACTTCTGAGCGGAAGAAGGATTTCTTCTTAAGCAGCAACGTCTTGTTTCCGTAATGATAGATGCTTCTAGGCCAATCGTGGGACAAAAATACATCCATGGGCTGCTTGAGCTGTCAAGCCAAAAACCAACAACAGAAGTGAAGTGAAACTGTTGCCATTGATGGTAAAGGAAAGATAGTAGGACAGGTCAAACAAAAAGTTCTGGATCACAGCTCCCATCAGCCTCAGCCAAAAGAGCAGATCATAAATCTCCCTCCCTTGTGATGGTTTTTAGATTTTTAAAGACAGTTTTATTTTATTAGACTGAATCCTAGCAAAGTTTTATTGGTGTCTTATCTAGAGGGAGGGTTGATTGGTTGTTACTGGCTCATTTAGTAATTTTGATTTACTTCTATTGTTACATTGATTTGCTTTGTAATTGGCTGCAATCTTTTGAGTTGAACTGGTTATAGAAGTTGCAAAATCAGTCAATGTTGGGATAAATATGTTGAGGAGATCAGAGGATACTGAAGAATTCCTTGAGGGAGATGGGCAGTTTAGAAATATAAATGAATTAAAAAGTAAGAACACTTATGGAGAAGAAAAACGTATGGGCTTTGTTAAATATAAACCAGACTTGCACATAGCAGTTCACATTAGGCTAATATGATTCCAGGTTAGCTGCTGAACAGCCATTATGGTTTGTAAAGTATTGGGTTATCATGTGGTATGTATGCAACAAATGGTTTAATTCAATGAATTATGATTAGGCATAAACCATGACTGGGCATAAAGTATGAACACAGATACAAAGACATCTTCCATAATCAATCCAGATTTAATGCTGGAGTCTTGCAACAATTAGAAGTCATATTTAGCCAATTTACTAGGATATGAAGATACAGCTGGCCTTTCTGTGACTTAACCCAACCAAGATCAGTTTTCGACTCTCTCATCACAGAGAACTGGGAAAGGAGATGCACTGCCTTCCCAGAACATACTGGAACCTGAAAGCTACATAGTGACTTCAGTTCAATGCCAGAAGAAATGACTTGAACCATCCCCAAAGACTGGTGCTAGAACTATGCTGCTATGACATTGACAAAGATATGGTGCTAGGGAAGGAGTGGGCAATTAATTTTCCCAAGGGGCCACACGAGAAACTGGGACTGTTGTGGAGGGCTGAACCACTGTAACCTGAACCACTGTAACCAGACTCCTTCCCCTCAATTCCTCAGGCTGCTCCAGATGAGGAATAAACGCTGTGAAGTTGCAGAAAAGCACTTTCTCTCCTCACCTGCCAGCTGACTGAAGAAGTGCATGGTGACTGCCGAGCCAGATCTGACTCGGCTTCTTCTCCCCCCTGCAGTGTGTTTATTTACATTTGATTTCTAATTTGTAACTGATCTCACGAGGGCTGGACAAGAACAGCCAAAGGGCATGGGGACCATAAAATGCCCTGTACTAGAGGATTATAGAGGTGAGCTTCAAAAAGTCCACTTGGTAAAAAACGTTCTGGTTGGGATGTTCAGTACAGAGAAGACATAGGGAAGACATGATCGTCATTGTCAGCTATATAAAAGGAACCTACAGATAGTAATCAAGACCTATTTTCCAGGAGCACAAGAACAGTCTATCTCTGGAGATTATGAGTTACCCATCTCTGGAGGTTTTTACAAAGAGGATGGTCAACCACTTCTCCTACAGAAATTGGACTAAATGATTATTATTTCAGCTCCATAATTATTCTGTGCAATGGCCCTCTTTTACAGCATTGCCTACTTCATTTTAGATGGTGAGGATGAATATGAAGGAGAGCCCAATATATGATAGTATGATATTTAGATTTACCTGCTTGAGCTTGAAAACCTCAATATTTCTTATATGGTAGATGCTTCGTACTGTTTCTTGGTTGTAAGGAGGATACTCAAAGTGACCTGAAAGAAGTTAAGTAACATGAAACAGTTACATCAAGAAATGTCTTTAGTTCATTTTGAAAGACAGGCCCCGGCTAATACTTGCAGGGGAGGTCCAAGACTAAAAGCTAAACTATCAACTTAAAAATAAACTCCTAGAAAGCAGTAATAATAAGCCACCTCCATATCATGCCAAAACCTTTGCATAGATGAATCTAAGTTTGATAAAGTTGAGTTCAGAGTCAAAGGAGACATGAGTTTAGCAGAAAGAGCTGCCAGATTGAAAATCGTGCTACACTTGGGTTTACCCTTCTGGTTTTGACAAGAATTGAAAAGATAATGAGAGTTAGCTCCTGCACAGTCAAAGGAAAACAATCTGACAGGAAATTTGACTGTTACCAAAATATGGGACACATACAAACAGGCCACTTACCCAGAGGACTCGCCATTGATACATGTTAATCACTAGAATTCTTTCATAATATCTCCTTAGCTTTTCTGTAATAAAACTATCTGATTAGAACTTATTCCATTCTTGTGTGTTTGTTTCATTAGTTTCAATCTAACTTCAGCAGTAGTCTGAGAGGGATTTTTGAGATTATGTTAGTCCAATAACCCAAGATTATTACAGTTTCAGATCCTATTTTGATAATCCAACTTTCCATTACAGTTGATCAATCGTAAACTTATATATCAATAACAATAAAAACAGCAAAAAGCACTAGAACCAAGCCACACAAATGTCAATGGCATATTTGCTTAAAACAAGAGCTTGAAGACTACTACACACATACCTCTTCTGTAATCATGGCCTTTGAAAATACCAGACAGGCCACCAATTCTCACCCCTCTGTATCTGACAACTCCAGCATAACCTGTAGAGAGTAATAAAATAACTTTGACAAAGAGATGCAGGAAACATTAGCTAGGCAAAAGGTAACAATTTTAAGTCCAGAACGTCCAAATAAGAATTGAATGCATCTCAGGAAGGCTTCCCTCTAATTCTCAAGGCTCAAAACATCTTTAAAGGCTGCACAACAATTAAAGTGTAGCATGGGAAACAAATAAAGATATAAAATGCTGGGGAAAAAACCTGTTTCAATATCCTGAACCGAACTGCTGCAGTTAAAATGATGAGTTTTTATGATGTTCTGCAAGATGGGCTGCTGTATAAATATGATGAATAAATAAATAAAATACTGACAGAAGAAGCACATTGTCTCATCCATGTAGGGTTCCACCCCTTCTTCATTTCTATATCAAGCATTTGATACTATCAAGTCAGAAACCAAAAGGAACAATACCAAGATAATAGATGTTTGGGGCCACCCATCCACCGTACGGTAACTCTTGCAAGTGATTGGAGGCCTCGTGGTTACCACCGATGAAGATAGTCAGGACAGGCACTTTCTTCTCTCCAGAATAGTATCTAGGAAAAGACAGTTGGAATTTTGAGCTATTAAAAGTCCATGTTTTTCTACCACCACTGATTAACCCTTTCAATAGAAACCAAAGGGAAAGAACTAGGGATATGCCAACAAGATATGATTGGTGGGCTTAAAATTATAGCTGTGCTAGTTAAATGAAAGATGGTACATTTGTTTTTTTATCATTAAATGGTTGCTATTGATAGCTGTGATTTTTAAAAATGAAGGGCTGTGGAAGGCCGAGATTGGTAGCTGTGTTTTAACCATGGACCCCACCAGAATCACATGCAAATGAGATGGGCAGCCATATAAATTTAATAAATAAAACAAAATAAAATAAAGGAAAGGAGTTCTTTTTCACATAGTAATCCATATTGTACAGCCATTTTGGTTTAATGCAGAGGTGGGTATTTTACGGCCCCCAGGCCACATCCAGCCCTTTGGCTGTCCCTGTCTGGCCCGCATGGATTGCTTTTATTTTGAAGGTGATTAATTTTTTTTAAAAAAAATACGTGCATGTGTGCATGCCTATGCGCCTTCAGAGTTCTATTAATTTGGCCTCCATACACTCCCAGTTTCTCATGTTGGGAAAATTAATTGCCCAGCCTTGATGTAGTGGTTTAAGACACCAGGCTAGAAAGTGGGAGACCATGAGTTCCAGTCTCACCATAGACAAGACACCAGTTGGGAGACCTTGGGTCAGTCCCTCCCTCTTTGCCCTAGGAAGAAGTGGCAAATCAATTCCAAAATGTTGCCAAGAAAACCACAGTCCTGCCCAGACAGTTGTCAGAAGCCAAAAACTGACTCAGAAACATAGAGTCACTTTGGTGCAGTGATTAAAACATAAGGCTAGGAGACTGGTTCTTGGGCATAACCAACTGGTTGGCCTTGGGCCAGTCACTTTTTCTCAGCCCTAGCAAGGAGGCAATGGCAAACCATATCTGGAAAAACCCTGCCAAGAAAACGGTGGGGACTATTAGTCCAGGTAGTCACCAGGAGTCAAATCAAAAGCACACAACACAACCATTGATGATGAGCCGTAGTGGTGCAGTGGTAAGAGTGCAGTACTGCAGGCTACTTCTGCTGACTGCTGGCTGCCAGCAGTCTGGGAGTTCGATTCTCACCAGCTCAAGGTTGACTCAGCCTTCCATCCTTCTGAGGTTGGTAAAATGAGGATTGTTGGGGGCAAGACGCTGACTCTGTAAACTGTTTAGAGAGGGCTGTAAAAAACACTGTAAAGTGGTATATAAGTCTAAGTCAGTGGTTCTCAACCTTTTTAATGTCGTGACCCCCAACCGGTCGTAAGTCGAGGACTACTCAACCGGTCGTAAGTCAAGAACTACTCAACTGGTGCAGCACCGTTTGCAGAATGGGACTTTTGGCGGGCTCAGCAGGGCAGAGACAGCCTGGACAATTCCTATTGGCTTTTGAAAGCCAATAGAATTAGACTCTATTCAAGAGAGTCTATTCTATTGGCTTTCAAAAGCCAATAGAATAAAAGGGAGTAGCACAGCTAAGGAAAAGGGGGAAAAAATGGCGGACTGCGTTGTTTGGCAACCCCCGTGAAATGGTCGTTCGACCCCAAATGGGGTTCCGACCCACAGGTTGAGAACCACTGGTCTAAGTGCTATTGCTATCTAGCTTGGATAATGAAATGTCTGTAACAAAACAAGCTCAGAGAGCACCAAGGACCCCTCACACAACACAACCATTTTATCTCCAGGTGACCAATGGGCATGTATGTTTACATTGGCCCAACATTTCAGTCCCAAGACAGATGCTCTTAATGAAAAGAAGGACTAAAGGTGACATGATAGCAGTGTTCCAATATCTCAGGTGGTAGGGAGCCAAGCTATTCTCCAAAGCACCTGAAGGCAGGACAAGAAACAATGGATGGAAACCAATCAAGGAGAGAAGCAACCTAGAACCAAGGAGAATTTTCCTGACAGTTAGAACAATTCATCAGTGGAACACCCTGCCTCCAGAAGTTGTGAATGCTCCAACACGGGAGGTTTTTAAGAAGAGACTGGACAACCATTTGTCCGAAATGATATAGGGTTTCCTGCCTGAGCCGGGGTGTGTGTGTGTGTGTGGACTAGATGACCTCCAAGATCCCTTCCAACTCTGCTATTCTATTTACAGGAATTAAGGGCATCTGTCAAGAAAGCCCCATGGTAAGTGGGGGCTCAAAGCGGCCTCTTCCCTCCCGCACCCAGCTCCTTCCCCACCAGACGGCGCCTCCCCAGAGCGCTGACCAGCTTCAGCAGTTCCGGGGACCCCACACACAACGCTTCGCTCGGCTCTCCGCCTACAACGGGCCCCCGCCCCGGACCCCCACTCCGTTTCCCCCCACTCACTTGGCAAAGCCTCCCAACTGGCGGTACTTGGACGGCACCGCCATGCAGCGCAGATCGGCCGCGTTGCGCACGGCTTGGAAGTCGCCGGCGCAGAGCAGCAAATCCGGACGGGCGTCGATGCCGTGGCGCTGCTCTAGCAGCTGCAGGGTCTCGTAGAGCTTATCCAGTGCGCCATGGCAGCAGCCGGCCACCGCCACCTTCATCTTCCCGGGCGGAACATGCGCGCTGCCTCGGCCGGCCTCTCCCACGCAGGCGCCCGCCTTCGCTTTCGGGACGCTGCCGGAACCAACCGCCGCTACTCGGGCATCTGCCCATGCGCCCGACCGCGGAAGGGGAGCGGGTTTCAGTGCTTGCGGCCTTGCAAGAGAGCGCGGGGCAGGTTTGGAGCGGGAAGTTTGATTTTTTTTTCCCTTCTGCTTTCGCCCTTCCTGCCCCGGAGCTTATTTCCTGATTGGTTCCCTTCGAAACTGGCGTGGAAGCGAAAGATTCAAGAGGCTTCTAAAGTCGCTGCTGCCATCCCGTTCCGCCTATCAGTGGAAGATTCGCTTTCGGAAAGAGGCCCTGTCTTTTAATAGCATTTTTAGGGCGCCTTTTCTTTTTCCTAATAATGTGTATATGTTGTTAAATACAAACCAGTTTAGTGTAGTGGTGAAGGTGCTGGCTTAGAAACTAGGAGACTAAATTCTAGTCCCATCTTAGAAATGAAAGCTGGCTGGGTGGCTTTGCTCCCCTCTCACAGCTCAATCCAACAGGGTTGTTGTGCGGAAAACAGGATGAAGGAGTATGTGTGTTTGCTGTCTTGACTGACTTATAAAGTAATCAAGGCAGGAAAAAAACTGTAGGTATAAATGGCTACAACAGATGGGGTGGTACCTAGGTGGTAATTCTGGCCGCCTGTTTGCAATTCAGTCCCTAAATCTGCCATTAGGCCTAGGGTATCATGGGAAGGATGATGAAACAGTCAGAAACATATATAAGATTAGGAAAAGGGCGTGGGCCTTATGTTGGGCACTTGCCATAGATGTAACTGAGACTGTCAGTGGGTAAAGCAGAGCAAAAACATAAAAGGGTTGGAATTTCCCAACACCCTTGGAAATAAAAACTTCCACTCCGGAATCTGGAGAAACTCAGTCACTCTTAAAGTCAGTTTCCCCCTAGGTTGTTGATTGCACCATCAACAGGCCTCAACTGCCAAGTGTTCTCTTCCCTCCCTCTCACGAGGTCAGTTGCATAACCTGTAGGAAAATACCAGAATGGAGTTGCCCAAACCTATTATTGAACCCAAACTCTAGCCACACCTTTCCAAGCAATGCAGATGAATATGGAAAAGGAGCAACAGCAGCCGTCGGCACTGCCTTAGATACAGACGGTAGCACTTGATATCCTGTAGGGTCGACAAAGGAGGCGGTGCATTCAACATCAAGCAACCTTTTTTGAGTATGGAGTTGCTCCTGAGGCAGGAGCAGAAAATGCCGGATCTGGTTATACCTTGGCAAGGTCCCTAAACCGCAAGGAAATGGCCATATGCTTCCTCTTGATGATCTGCTTTATTTGGATGCCATTTTTCACTTCAGGTATGTGGTGATAACCCCAATTCAGGCAGGCCCTTAAAGCAAAATAAAGGAATGAAGTAATATTTTTAGGAGTGTGGATTTAGAGCAAAAGAAGTCAGAGTTATTTTTGAACAGAGTTGCAGAAGTTCAACAGATCTTTAGTAGCTCAGTTCAGGAAAAACCGGATACGAAGAATAGGTAATGCCGATCCAGCTTTCTTAACCAGATAAGTTTTTTCCAGCAACCAGATTTAGGGATGAGGAAAATAGTTTTGTTGTTTGTAATATGAAGCTCTTTGGACAACATTAATGTGTAAAACCGTGAATCTCTTAATATTTAGAAACAAGTATTTCTACCCATTATTCAAATAGAATTGACATTTGGGCATTGGTAAAAAAAAGAACAGAATAACCTGATAAATTGATAGAATGATGAATATGCACTGTATTAATTTCAGCAGATTTATGCTAGATATGTTTAAATCTAGACTAGTCTGCCAACAGCTAAGGACAAAATCATAAGACTTAGCCTTCATGTATATCATAACACAGGCTGAGAATAATGTTTGTATCGTAATGTCATTTCCTGTGTTATCGGTTGTGGGAAGAAGTGGAATACCTTAGAACTGTGGGTCAATTGTGATTTTGAGGCAGGAAACAGGATACAATGGGATTAGGGAAAATTATCTTTCAGCTTGTGTATAGTGTTTGATGTTGGATTCAGTCTGGAAGTGTCAGCCCAAGGCTGCCCAGCGTCATTTTGGAGCTAGGTGGCCTCAGTTAATAATAAATAATAAACAAGATTGCCTCTTCTAATTCCAAAGGGATAATATGCAGTTCCAACCACATTATTCCAGTAAATGGGGTAGGAAATATAACTAATCTTTTGACTTATTTTATTTATTAAATTTATATGCTGCCCATCTCACTGTCATCTAATCTGGGCATCTGACAGAATCATTTGTTTAGCGACTGTTCAAAGTTACAAAAGCATTGAAAAAAAATGACTTACAACTAGTCCTTGCACTAATGACTATTGTGCCATCCCCATGATCACATGATCAAAATTTGAGTGCTTGGCAACTGGCATGTAAATACAATGGTTGCAGCATCCATTATGGCCCCATTCCTGTGGAACACTCTACCATTGGAGGTGAGAAATGCTTCCATCCTTTTGGTTTTCTGGAAGGGTATTAAAACTTGGCTTTGCTGCTTGACCCTGAGGGGGGCAGTCACCACTGGAGGTAGTTAACAGAAGAAGACCTCATTCATCCCTGTGCCATCCGAATCCTGGTTTTTGTACAGTTTTAAAATTTTAATTTCTTTATTTCAATTATTTTTCCCTTTGTCCTTTATAATCTATAAGTCACCCAGAGTCACCTTATAGGGGAGATGGGTGTTATGGAAATTTAATAAATAAATAATGCTAGCCCTAACCTACATGATTCATAGAAATCGCAGCGATTCATTTAACAACCATGGCAAAAAAGGTTGTAAAAGTGTGACTCACTTAACAATCATCTTTCTGAGCAATGGAAATTCTAGTCCCAATTATGGTCATAAATCAAGGACTACCTGTAGACAGTTACACATTCTTGGCAATAAGAAGAATATCAACAAGAGCCGAGGTGGCGCAGCAGTTAGAGTGCAGTACTGCAGGCCACTTTAGCTGACTGTGTTCAGCAGGTCAGCGGTTCAAATCTCACTGGCTCAAGGTTGACTCAGCCTTCCATCCTTCCGGGGTAGGTAAAATGAGGACCCAGATTGTTGGGGGCAATGTAAATGCTTACTGGTGTACACCGCTTAGAGCAGTGGTTCTCAACCTGTGGGTCGGGACCCCATTTGGGGTAGAACGACCATTTCTCGGGGGTCGCCAAACAAGGCTGTCCGCCATTTTTCCCCCTTTTCTTTGGCCATGCCCCTGGCACCCGGTGATGTATGAGTGGTAGGGGGTCACCACAACATGGGGAACAGTATTATGGGGTCGCGGCATTAGAAAGGTTGAGAACCACTGGCTTAGAGAGTGCTTGTACTTAAAGCGGTATATAAGTCTCATAAATAAATAAACAATCAGAAACTGCAAATAGCATTGTGTTGCTCTTTTATGAAGTGTGCTGCCTCTGACAGCCATCTATTTCTACCTGATACTAGGGACAGTCTGGATCAGGGGTCATCAAACTTGGCCCTTTTATGACTTGTGGACTTCAACTCCCAAAATTCCTCAGCCAGGCATGCTGGCTGAGGAATTCTGGGAGTTAAAAGTCCGCAGGTCATAAAAAGGCCAAGTTTGAAGACCCCTGGTCTGGATTTTTGGCATGCATGGCTATGGCTGGGAACAATTCGCTTCTGAAATCATTCCAGCTCCATTTTTCAGGCCAACCTGGTCGGTGACTTCTAGTCTCCTAAATGAGAGCATCCTGCTGCCCACAAATATAGTGAAAAAGGCTTCATTCCATCACAAATACAGAAGTGAGATTATTGCTATTCTGACAACATTTAACTGACTGGACCTAAAATATGGTCATTTTGTCCAAACATCCCAGATAGGCATAAACTTGGAGACAGATAGTCCCACAGTTAACCATGACTTATACTATGAAGGGTTTTATAGGTGACAACCAGGATCTTGAATTGCACCCAGAAGCCAAATGGCCAACAATGCAGCTTGTATAGCAATAATGACACTTGGGCAGAGCAAAATGTGCTCCTGCTGTTCCATTCATGAATCTACTGTAGCTTCTGGATGGTCTTGAAGGGTAGCGTGCATGTAGAGTGCATTGCAGTAGTCCATTTGCAAGGTGACCAAGGCATGAAAACCATCTGAAGGGTCTATTCTCTATTGGTTGAGGAGGAAGCATAACATAATGTTTTTGCTATGGCTAGGAAATTCACCCCTTTTGAAGATTGAGAGAAACTGGGCCCAGCCAGTGTTTGATTCTATGTAAGGTATATTCTTTTGCTTTTATGCTTCAGGGTTAGAATATTTCAGATTATTCATAGAGTTGCCAGCATTAGCATAGATAGATTATATTATCAATCTAGATTGGGTTTGAATAAGGTAATTTCCTATGTCCTGAATAAGAACCATAAATAAACAAACAAAGAAAGAAAAATAAAGGGTTTAAATGGGGCAATTTCCTATGGCCTGAATAAGAACAATAAATAAATGGTTTCAATAAGGTAATTTCCTATGTCCTGGTTAAGCACCTTAAATAATAAAATGTTCACTCATAGATTCAGATACACAGACAGTTAGACTATAGGATTACCCACCCCAAATTATTGTCTTTGAATTGTGTTGGGACTGAAATGTTCAGAACTTGTGAATTAATCAGTTGCTCATTATCTATTTGGATTATTTCTGCACCAGAGACCTGATTTTCTCCAAAGAAAGTTGAGAAATGTAATTTATACATTGGATGGCATATGTGAATGTTTTGCAAATATGGATCCTCTGTTGTTATAGTTGGAAATGGCTAGGAGGTGGTCATCATTATGGAGAGCAGGGTAGGAATCGCCATCAGCAGGGCTGGCATATGTAGACTACAACTATGTGCTCAGTCAATAGGTGGCAGTAAAGAGGCCCTGAAAGTACTTTGGCGCTATCAAGTGGTCATGCAGATGTTGGCAACTTAAATATTCTACTTCTATAACAGAATCTTAGCAGTGATTAGCACTAATCACAAACACTAAGAATCTTTGGGGGCAAACTACGATACACATTTGCAACCTCATTCTATTTGGCTAAGGCAGGATGAAGGATATAAACAATCTATACTTACACTGCATAAACTATGGTTTAATACAATGTTTGAATATAGTTGCTGACTTTAGAAGAATACACTCATACGTTACTGAACTGCCATCTTAAGTGAATGTAAAAGGGATGCATCTCTATACGCAGGAGCACATAAAATGTGTACTGGGAAAATGTAAAATTCTGACACTAGGAATATACCTTGAAGGAAGATATTTGAACTATGGACAAAAACAATTTATAAGTTTAAACAAAAGTGAATTGATGCAAAGTCTTCCCCATTCTTTAGTAATGTACAAGATTTGATAAGACTCTTTTTCTAACCTGCATCTTTTAAAATATTAAATATCTGATGATTTTTTCTAACCTGCATCTTGTAAAACAAATACTAAATTACATGCCATTTAGTTCAAGTTCTATTAAAAGCACAATTTGGGATATATCTGCTAAGAAATAAATTCCACTGAGTCCCCATGTTCTTACTTCTAGCTAAGTCAGCATAGCCTTTAAGCTTAACTAATAAACTCCTCTGAGCAGTTAGTGATAATAATTACAGGTAATTCTCAACTTAAAAGCGTTTTAGTGACCATTTGAAATTACAACAGCACTGAAAAAAGTGACATGATTGTTTTTCACTCTTACGACCATTGCAGCATCCCCATGCTCATATGATTCAGATTTGGATGCTTGGATGCTTTGAATCCCCTTTGGCGACCTTCTGACAAGCAAAGTCAATGGGGAAAGCCAAATTCACTTAAAAACCGTGTAATTAACTTAATAACTGCAATGATTCGCTTAACAACTGTGGCAAGGGAAGTCATAAAGTGGGGCAAAATTCACTTAACAGCTGTCTCACTTAACAACATAAATCTTGGGCTTAATTGTGGTCGTAAGTCAAGGTCTACCTGTACACCTACATCTAGTAATTGATTATTCAGTAATAAAGGATCTGATGTGATATCCTAATAGTAACCTCATGTCTCTAATCTGTGAGATAATTTCTGGTTTTTTCTCTTTATATGTCATTTTGATGATCCCTACATAAAGCTGCCTTACTAGCACCTCCTCAGAATATTACTATTCTGTCCACCAATATGAAGCACTTTCTGGTTTGGAGTCCAGTTGCGGAGATTGCACCTGGTGAGGTTGTAAAATACTCAGTCGAATTTCAAGGGTAAGTTCTTATCTCATCTTGAGTACTGATTGTCTAAAGAAATCTCAGCATGACTGATGCTAAATATGTGTGGCTAGACATTTTAAACTTATACCAGGGGTCTTCAAACTTGGCCCTTTTATGACTTGTGGACTTAAACTCCCAGAATTCCTTAGCCAGTGTGCCTGATTGAGGAATTCTGGGAGTTGAAGTCCACAAGTCATAAAAGGGCCAAGTTTGAAAACCCCTGACTTATACCAACAAAATATGTTGGACTAAGGTACAACTGATCACATCAGCTGCAAGTAGTAGAAGTAACAGTCCCACAAATCCAGATTACAAGATAAAGGAAAGCTATACTTTTTTGCTATACTCAGTATAATAGTAAAATAATAATGAGGAGATACCACAGAGGTTTATGAAGTTACGTATGCTATGAAGAACATGAACAGGGTGAATTGTTCTCCATTTCTTTCTGTATTCATAGTAGATGGTTGCCTAATGGGATGTTCAAGAGAAATAAAAGGAAATGCCTCACATGGTGCCAATTTAATGAAATTTGGTTCCATAAAATGTGGTTGAGGGCCACCATTTTTTTTTTTAAAAAAAGGAAGGTAAGCTAAGGTTCTTTCTTTGTTGACAGTTACAATGCCCAAATGGTTTGGCAATCCCATGTTGTCCCTTGACCACATAATGCTGACCTTAATTTTGTCTTCTATTTATAGTTTTAAGAAGTCTTAAACTCCAGTTTTTATGTACCACTTTACTTTTCCATAATTATTGAACTGACCATTGTTTGAGAAAAACGTTGACTGGTTAAGCCTTTAATCTGATTCAGTAGGCCTGTTACTAGAAAGGCTATCAGGGTGAGATAACTTTTTCCACTAGGCATTTCTGTTGTAGGAAGGACAGGCATCTAGGAAAGAAGGAAAAATGTGTTAACACAGCCACAAAACCAGCAGTGGCATCCTCTGTCATGTCCACCCATGCAGTAAGTTCAGAAAAGTCCACTGAGAGAAATGTGAAAGACGTTCTCCAACACCCTAACAATTAGGTAGAAAAATAGGAACCTTTTTGACCAAAGAAAGCTTCTTAGAAATGACAAGGCAAATTTTTACACAAGATTAGAAGTATCTTATAGTATGTGCGTGGAGGATGGATTGACTTGTTCCAAAAGTCAATTTTGGAACAAAATTCCTCCTAATCAGGGTACAAATGCAGGAATATAAGATGGAAAAATCTCCTAAAACAGTAGACTGTATCATTTTAGACTACTGGAGAGTGATATCCTTTTCTTTTACCCCTTAACAAACCAATTAGAAAAACATTGGGAGAAAATTCTACAGAATAACAGGCTTGGAAGGGATCTTGGAGGTCTTCTAGTCCAACCCCCTGCTCAAGCAAGAAACCCTATACTATTTCAGACAAATGGTTGACCAGTCTCTTGAAAGCCTCCAGTGAGGGAAGACTTAGCTGGAGGCAAATCGTTCCACTGATTAATTGTTCTAATTGCCTTGAAATTTCTCTTTAGTTCTAGGTTGCTTCTCTGCTTGATTAGTTTCCATCCATACTGGGAGAAAATTCTAAACCAGATCCCTGTCTACTAATCTTGTTTTCCACTCCCAAGGAATTTAAGAATAGCATTTTGAATGTTCTATCTGCTCTTTGGAGTGATGGAATTTCTTTTCCCACCTTAAAGCTTTGCCAAGGCATTCTGTTGCATGTATAGGCAAGCTAGACATGCAATAGTATTGCAACAAATTAACACATGGGTGGTTGGACTAGTATCCCCTGCCAGGTTTACGCGCCTTTGGGCTTCATCACATTGTAATGCAGATGTGTGGTTGCTGGTTGGGGTGGAAGAAATGCTTTTATCCAGAAGGGAGATTCAACTACAATCTTTACATTCTCCCTTCTCTGTGACATGAATAAGCATGGCGACCCTGGGACAGGTGGAAGCCCAGATAGATTATCACCTTTAGGTGGTTCTCTGGGCCATCCAGTGCAATGTGCTTTGTTCTCATACTTGAAGGCTGTTGCTATATCCTCAACAGTAAACAGCTCTTCTCTGTTTCAGGGCAAAGAGGGTGGGTGGTTGAGATTTTTGTCAATAACATCTTTATGGCAAAATGAATTCTCTTTTGAATTTTAACATCTCAGACATGTAAGCCCTTCATGGCATGGGTCCAAATTACTCGAGGGACCATCTCACCCCATTGGGTTGGCCAATCCCATTGTGCTAGCAGAGGAGACATGCTGTAGGCCCCATCGGCCATAGTATTCCAGCTGGGGGGTGGGTCCAGGAGAAGAGCCTTCTCTGCCGTTGTGCCTGCCCTTGGAACATCTCCTCCTGGAACATCTCAGGAGGCTTCAACCCTCCTGACCTTCCATAAGAGCCTAAAGACCTGGCTTTGCCAGTTAGGTTGGGGGCTCCAATGGAAAGGTTTTACATTGGGGATGTTTGGTAGATTAATAATCTTCTCCCCCATCTTCTCATCCTACTCCGTCCCTCCCCATCTTTTAATTTTGGCCTCAGAAATTGGATCTTTACAGTATTTTATTTATGTCTTTTAGGTTTTGTATAGTTTTTATCTTTTTAAGATGATAAGCTGCCCAGAGTCACCCCTGTGGTAAGATGGATGGCCAGTAAATTTTACAAATAAATAAATAAATCATAGCCCGAAAACTGGGAAAATACATAGGAAGAGAGAAGGAAGAGGATGAGAAGCAAATTTAGAAAAAAGAGGCAAATTTAGAAAGACTGATACGAACATACATTGTTATACATAAACACACATTATGCTAAAGTGACATTTAATTTATTTATTTATCTATATCTCACTGCTATTTTTTACAAATAACTCAGGGTGGTGAACATATCCAACCTACTTCCTTCCTCCTATTTTAGCCACAACTATCATGAAGTGAGTTGGGCTGAGAATGACTGGCCCAAGGTCACCCAGCTGACTTTCATGGCTAAGGCAGGACTAGAACTCTCAGTCTCCCACTTTCTAGCCTGGTGCCTTAACTACAACGGCAAACTGGCTCTTTACATAATTTAACATTAGCTTAATGTGTGAGAATCTGGTTTTTGAAAATTATCATGACTTAATTTAGGACTCATCTACCTTGGGTAGACTGAGTATATCTATGGATTATACTTTAGGCCAGTGATGGCGAACCTTTTAGAGACCCAGTGCCCAAACTGCAACCCAAAACCCACTTATTTATCACTGGGTGCTGGGTGGGCAGGGCCGCGGTGATCATGGCAGACTGGGTGGGCGGGGCCAGGGCAGCAGGAGCCAGTCCCTCGCCATCTCCGGGGCACAGCATGCGTGCCCACAGAGAGGGCTCTGAGTCACACGTGCCATAGGTTCACCACCACTACTTTAGGCTAATAATAACAAGAGTAATAATAAAATTTTTAGCTGAAAGGTACAAATCTTGTGGTCTTCCAGATGTAGTAAAATTAATGTTTCCAATAGCTCTAGGTAGCATTAACCAATAGTGAGGAAATTTGGAATTGTAATTCAGCTGTATTTATTTATTTGTTAAATTTGTATGCTACCCGACTCCACACCAAGTGGATTATGGTTCAGAAGTAAACACATACAGATAGTCCTCAAACACAATTGAGCTCAACATTTCTGTTATTAAGTAAGACATTTGTTAAGTGAGATTTGCCCCATTTTACAACTTTTCTTGCCATAGTTGTTCAGTGAATCACTACAACTGTTAACTTAGTAACAAGGTTGTTAAGTGAATCTGGCTCCCCCATTGACATTGTTTGGGGGTCACATGACCCTGGGACACTGCAACCGTCATAAGCATGAGTCAGTTGCCAAGTGTCCTGAATTTTGATCATGTGACCGGGGATGCTAAAATGGTCGTAAATGTGAAAAATAATCATATGTCGCTTTTTTCAGTGCTGTTGTAACTTTGAATGGTCAGTAAAGAAACTGTTGTAAGTCGAGAACTTCCTGTATTTAAAAAAATATATATCTGGAGTGCCATGAGTTTGTTTTTCTTCTATTAGATCCATGAACTGGAGCCAGTTACAAGAGAAAGGCTGAAAGCTCTATCCTTAGGCTCAGAAATGAGTTACTATACTTATTTTCAGCGTACTATAAGCCATCTTTGCCTACTAGAGATTAGATATTCTAACAGCCTAAAGATTGTTAAAGGATTAAGGATTTAGAATTAAATCTCTTTGGTTGGCTGCACATGAGCCACTCATTAATTGATGTGTCCATTTATGAATTTTTGTACAAACATCCAGGGATACCTAATCTCAGAGCTGCATTGCAGTTACAAATTTTAGGCAGGCTACCAAGGAAATGATGTTGCTTATGAGCTGGCCCTTGCTATTTTATTTATTATATTTATATGCCACCGAGTCAAGTGACATTTTTTTGAGGCAATGTGAAGAAGGTCCTTTGTTCTCTGCATAGAAGCTGACTTTGTTTTTTTCCTAACTATATCTAGAGAATATGAGAGAGACTATGCCAATGACAGCTGGATTCCCATTGCAGAATGCACATATGTTAGTGTTACTCAGTGTGATATCACAGAAGACATATCGGCTACTGTGCCATATAATCTACGTGTTAGAGCATCTATGGGGACAGAGGCCTCCCTCTGGGCCACACTCAATGGCTTCTTCAATCGTGTCACAAGTAAGTCCCCTGTTAGGAAATCTCACAACCCAGCACCTGTCTGGATGAGCCCAGTCTTGATCCTTGTTTTGTTGATATCAGGCCCAGCAATAATTTAAAGCAGCTGCATTGGGTGGGGCAGGATTTTGTAGCAGCTTTTCTGACTGGAATTGAGGCCTTAAAATTGTATTTAGGTTATGATTCAATCTTCCTCAGTGGGAACTAAGCTTTTTAAGCCACCGTTCACATTCAGATTCAGGAGAGTGCTTGGGAACAATTAATCAGAAAAGATAAGTCAGCATAACAGAGTAAGGACTCTATTTAAGGAAAAGGCAGCTGAAATAATGCATTTTAAGAGTCAGTTTACTCAGTGGAAAGAAGAAAGGACTAATATTGACCATATAGGAAGGAATTCCGCAAGTCTTGTGGGCCACATGTTGCTACATCCGTTCAGCATAAAGTGCCATTGCAGTTATCTTGTCTAGTTAGAACCAGAGCACAAGTAACAGATTATTTATTACTACAGAAAGCACCTGGGGGCAAATACAACATTCAAACAACCCCGGAAACATTTCAAGTCCAAGCAAGATTGCTAACTTCCTGGCTTTAATGATAGAACTCAGCTGCTACCCCACTTTAGCACTAAGGAATTTCTCCAGCATGATAAGTGTAGAATCCACCGGATGGGTAATTTCAGCCTTCCTGCTGAGAGACTAAGTCAAAACTTTAACCACGCCTCCCTCTGGGTGTGTCTTCCCAGTTATTGACTTAGGCTCAGTAGGGTGCAGAAATTCTGGCTCCTTAGTTAGACTAGGTTAATTGGGTTTTTAATTGAATTTAATTCCTTTTTTCAGATTTTAAATTGAACTATTTTCTTACTTTTTAACTTTGGATTCATTTGGCTAAATCTGCGTTGGTTATTTATTCGGGCCTTTTGGCTTCGAGCCTAACAGGCCCATGAGAAAGCTGCAGGCCATTCTCGGGTGGGGCTTTCAGCCCAATCGAGAGGATCAGTGGGAGTGTGGACCAGCCGACCAGCTGGCTTGCGGCCAACAGAGTTTTTTCTGGAGTCTCACAGACCGGAGGTTTTATTCTTCGTCGAGGCCATGAGGCTCTATCTGCAGCTAGCAGTTTTCAGATCGCAGCAGAGGCTGCACAACAAACTGCAAGTGACTTTTACGAATGGGGGGAAGAGGGATTTGCTTGATTTGGCGAATTTCTAGAAGCTTTTCCCTAGCAGGGGCTTCGCTAATTCTCTTCCCCTTCTTTTTGACTGGTCGTCACTTTAAGAGTCGTTGTAAGGGCACGGCCGCCATTTTGGCCCGCGTGATAAGTCGCGGCTGCCATTTTGAGAAGATCATCAGGTGCAGTCGCCATTTTGAGAAAGTCATCAGGCGCAGTCGCCATTTTGAGAAGGTCAAGGCGTGGCCGCCATTTTGTAGGGACCTTGCGTTCCTCTGTGATCTATTGGGGCCTGCCTTGATTATTGCCTGTGCCTGCTGTGTCAGGCCTGTATCCGGGGGGAAACATTAACATTATCTCAGAATAACTCGGAGTGTTATCAGGAGATCTAAGTGTGGTTGCCTCGTTGTACTTGTATTATTATTCTAACTACTCATTGAGGTCAGGTGCTTATCCTTAATACCTGTAATATTGCTATAACTCCTCATTGAGGTCCAGGAACTTATCCTTAATACCTGTAATATTACTATAACTCCTCATTGAGTTCCAGGTACTTATCTGGTGTGAGTGGAGCGAAGGAATTTTATTTCAGAACCACCGGTTCCAATTAGTCTGTGGCACTTTGCCACAAGGCCTAGACAGACAGTTCTAGGGAACTGTCTGGCTGTCCTTTGCCATTGCTGTTGTTCGGATCTGCGTGTTTGGGTTCCCCCCACGTCTGGATATCTCTTACCTGGATTGTCCAGATTACAATGGCAGACAGTTCTTCGCCCCAGGCATACCAGGGCTCTGGTATTTCCCTCGCACAAACAAATTGTAGATCATCTGATTTGGATGCGGGGGGAGAGAAAAAACGCCAAGATGAGACACTTATCCATCAACAGACCCAAAGGCAGCCGGGCGAGAGGCCACGGGGAGACATTAGGCGCTGGAGAGGGAATTCTCCAAAGCCCAAAGGCTCAGGTCCAGTGAAGCTGAAGTGGTTTCCCCCGTTCCATTGGACACTTCTCCATTTGAGTCTTTATTTGCGTCTTCCCAGGATGCCCTCGAGCAGGGTCTCCCCAGGGGGAAACTGAACAGGATGGTCCCCCTTGCTCCTCATCCTCATCTTTTAGAGGCATACTTGCACATCCCCAAAATTCCATCATTGCAGGTTCCTGCGGTTTTATTACGAGCACCGGCATTGCCAATACAGGGCTCTTCCTTTTGGGTTCTCTTCTGTCCCTGGGGTCTTCACAAGGATTGGGCAGATGCCAGTGCATGTGCAAGGCTATCTGGATGATAGCCTAATGCAGTCCAGCCCTTTCCAGTCAGCTAAGTTAGACTTGGAAATCACGATACGTACGCTCAAGGAACCTTCCAGGCTCACCTTGACTACTTACGCCAGTCTATCCGGTTGGGGTGCCCGCCTTCAGACTTATCTGCCTCAGGGACAGTGGTCTCGGTCAGATCTAGACCACAACATAAATTGGCTCGATCCCAGAGCCATCCACTTATCACTCTGCCGTTTTCCTCCCTAGTGTCAGGGAAGCATGTCTTGATCCTGACAGTCAAGATTGCAGCCAAGGCTCACGTCAACATCAGGGAGGGACACGCTCACTCAAGCAGGAGGTCCTGAATGTAGGCCCGTGAGCAGAATCCACCCTGGGTTCCATCGCGGCGGAGCACATATCGGGAGATGCAAATCCACAAGCAGATTCCCTGAGCAGGTCATAGTAGACCACTCGGGTGGCGCCTGGAACCAGTATTGCTCAGGGAAATTTCGGGTAGATTTGGTCATCCGCATCTGGATCCCTTTGCCTCCCCGATGAATGCCCACCTCCCAGGTTCTTCACCAAGTTCCGACACGGGGGGGGGGCGGAAGGAACGGATGACCTCTGGTGCAAGAGGCCGGGGAGGGGGTACTGCCTTAGGTTCTTTCTCCCCTTCCGTTGTTACTGGCAACCATCTGCAAGCTGATTCAGGAACAGGCGGAGGTAATCTCAGTTGCCCCACATTGGTCATGGCGTCAGTGGTTTGACGATCTTGTGGATTAGCGCTCTCGCCACTGTCGAGAATTTCCCCGGACCGAGTGGCTCTCAGCCAGGGGATTCTTCAACAGCTTGATCCACAGCGGTTTCAGTTGGCCTCTGGCATTGAGCGGGAAACTTTAGCTAGGTAATCCTATTCATTTGGGGTGATCTCGATGATCCAGGCCTCAAGGTGCCCCTCGACCTATAGGCACTTCGGCACGTGGTGCAACTAAGCAACAGATCAGTCAGTCTTCAGTAGTCATTCCTGTCATATTGGAATATCTGCTGAAAGGTTTAAATAGGGGCTTATCATCTATCACTATCAGCAGGCAAGTTACGGACTTGTCAATGGGTCTTACCTGTGACAACCTGGTTCCTCTATCACAACACCCGGTGGTTAGTATGTGGCTGAAAGGGGTGGTTAATGCTAGCATACCTGTGGTGCACCGCTATCCGTCTTGGGACTTGCCTAGGCTGTTACAGTGTTACCTCTCCTCCGCTCGAACCTCTTAAGTCTAGTTCTTTTCATTTTCTGTCCTTGGAAGTGGCATTCCTCGTAGCTATCACTTTGCACGGGAGGATTTCGGGATTGGCCTCATTCTCAGCCAGGAGTGATCTGCCTAATTTTTATGGAGAGGGTGGTCCTTAGATGGGACCCTCTCTTCCCTCCAATGATTAATACATGGTTTCATAGGTCCTAGGATCTGGTTCTTCCAAACTTGTACTACTCCTTCACATTGTCTAGAAAGACAGTGCCGTAGGTTGGATGTGCGCAGGATCCGCGACACTATGTCAAGCAAACCTCAGTTTTTTCGCAAGTCAGAGGATTCGTTCATGTCCCTTGGCCATCTGCCACGGGTCAGTGTGTCTCCTCCTTCGACCATTGGTAGGTGGATCAGAGCATGTATCGATCTGACTCATCTTTCTCAGCCACTTCCAGTTCCTACACACGTCACGGTTCACTCGACGTGTAGCACAGATGCATTAGCAGCCTGGTCTACTCAGGTTTCGATCGAGGAGATCTGTAGGGCAGCAAGGTGGTCCTCCTCTTCTTAATCTGTCAAATATTACAAGATTGGTAGGTTTGCTGCGGCAGATGCTGCATTTGGTAGACGGGTTCTACAACAAGTATTTCTTGTTGTACACATGCCTAGACTTTCCCTCCCTGTAGGGACTTGAGCGGCTTTGGTATGTCCCATCCGGTGGATTCTACACTCATCATGCTGGAGAAGGGGCGTTGTCTTACCTGAATGCCTTTTCTCAGCATGATGATGTAGAATCCACACCCTCCCTTTGAGACGGTCTAAGCAGGCGTCATGGATTATTGGAGCCGTTGCGCCAGACTTCGTCATGGATTCTTCGCCTCATCAATAACTGGGAAGACACACCCAGAGGGAGGCGTGGCTAAAGTTTTGACTTAGTCTCTGAGCAGAAAGGCTGAAATTACCCATCCGGTGGATTCTACATCATCATGCTGAGAAAAGGCGTTCAGGTAAGACAACGCCCCTTCTAACAAAAAATCAGGAATAGGTTAGGAGAAGTAGAGGATCTTGCTTTAAAAAAATTCAGCACACTTTCATTAAATTGAGGGGTGTCCTCTAATTAAGGGCTGGATTTACTCCTGATAAATTCTTGCCTTTGAATTCCCTCCCTCCCTCCCTTCCCAGAGTATGGGACTTTTTCTGGATCATACATTTCATCAGATGTTCAGTAGTCTCATATCTAAAAAAAACTAAGTAACTTCCCAAACAAAACAAAACCAGCCCTGCTCCAAATCTCATTAGATTTGGTAATCTTGCAAGATGACATTAATTTTGAAGCATTTCTTACATTCATTTAATAGGGAACTAGTATCTTTTGTGAAACCAGGGGATGCCTGAGACTCACAATGTTGAGTTGATAATACCTGCTATAAAATGTACCAACATAAGATCCGACCACCTATTTTTAGATCCATGTCCTTCGTGGTTGGTCATAGCCACATGGTCAGGTCCATGTGGTGGCAAAACCATTCCTCCCCTGAAGGAGACAGTGGTTCAGTCCTTCCTCAAGAACCCATTCTTGGACCCAACAGTTCTGAACAATTTTTGTCCAGTCTTCGTCCCTTTTTCCACCTACTGAATATGTGAATCCCTTTCCCTTTTTATAGCATCCCTCATTCCGCCAATGTTGACTGTCACCACTGATGGATATCACTTGCTAGCAGAACTAGAACACCTGGGGCCTGCCTTTGACTTCTGGATATTTTACTGGAAGAAGGGCCCAGAACCTGCGGTAAGTTCTGATCTTTTTTCTGATTTGCAATTGTTTGTTTAGATGGATTGAAAGGCAGGAAAATTTCTGTACTCATCAAGGTTGAATCACTGAGCCATCCTGAGCTTTGGCTGAAACTCTGAATGCTCTTAGGAGATAGCATCGCCGTGACTCATCTGCCTTTCTTTGTGATTTCCTGTCATATACTGTTGTCTGCAGAAGCATGGGATCACTTTGGTTCCTGCATGTGGCAATTCAGCTATCGTGTTTGGAAATATGAGCATATTCACCTATGGTCAGCCTTCTCAGGTAGACCAGACAGGAAAAATGACCAGATGAACTAATTCTATTTTATTGAAAGGCTACATTAACAGAACCTTGAAAGTCTGAAAGTTCAAAATGTTCACCGTCTCTTTTACAGCAGTGGTGGTGGAGGAAATCCCTTTCGAGCCTCTTTCTCTGCCCGTTCTCAGTTTATGACAGGTCATTTAGTGACCATTTAAAGTTACAACGGCACTGAAAAATGTGATTTATGACCGTTTTTCGCACTTATGACCATTGCAGCATCCCCATGGTCATGCGATCAAAATTCAGATGCTTGGCAACTGGTTCATATTTATGATTGTTGCAGTGTCCTGGGGTCATATGATCACTTTTTGCGATCTGACAAGCAAAGTCAATGAGGGAGCCAGATTCACTTAACAACTTTATTACTAACTTAACAACTGCAATGATTCACTGAACAAATGTGGCAAGAAAAGTCGTAAAATGGGACAAAACTCACTTAACAAATATCTCACTTAGCAACATAAATTTTGGGTTTGATTGTGGTCATAAGTCAAGGGCTACCTGTATGCAGTTGCGGGCTATGCCCTCTCTTATTTGACCATTCCCTAACCAGCATCTCTCCCCTGACCCCCATCTCCGAAGGTCATTCCCACATATCATTACACCTATGTGCAACCATTATCAAAACATGCTTTTGAATCCCACTGCCATTGCAGAGTCCTGGTGGCACAGTGGTTAGAATGCAGTATTGCAGGCTAATTCTGCTGGCTGCCAGCAGTTCGACAGTTCGATTCTCACTGGCTCAAGATTGATTTAGCCTTCCATCCTTCTGAGATCAGAAAAATGAGGACCCAGATTGTTGAGGGCAATGTATTGACTCTGTAAGTCGTTTAGAGAGGGCTGTAAAGCACTGTGAAGTGGTATATAAGTCTAAGTGCTATTGCAATTACTTTTCCCATTTATTATATATGGGAATAAAAATATTAATATTAAGCAAACTCACACTGACAATCTGTGTAGTTAGCCATGGTTTTCCCAGTTCTAACCTATGGCTCTGAAAGCTGGATCGTCAAAAAGGCTGAGGAAAAATGTACACCTTTGAATTTGGGACTGAAGAAAATTGTTAAGAGTATTTTAGAATTGCAAGAAGTACAAATAGTTAAACATCAGATAAAGTGAAACCAGGCAGCTCCTGGGAAGCATTAAGAAGGAAGTTGAATGTTTATATCAAAAACAAACAGCACAACTTATTGTTAATGGAGGTCTTTCGGAGGTTTTCACAATAGAGAAAGGTACTAGACAGGGGTGTCCTTTATCGCCATTGTTGTTTGTTTTAACATTGGAAATATTATTGATCAAAATTCGAGAGTCTCAGGAAATTAAAGGAATATATGTTAATAAAAAAGAATATAAGTTGAGAGCTTTTGCGGATGACTTGGTTGTTACTTTGTCGCAACCTGATTATTCTGTAGTAAACTTATTACAGTTGATTCACCATTATGGTTTGGTCTCGGGTTTTAAGATTAATGTAAATAAGACTAAAATTTTACCTAAAAATATGTCGAGTCAGGAGAAGCAGATTTTGGTTAACTCGACGGGTTTTGAGATTGTTAATAAGGTAAAATATTTGGGGGTGATGCTGTCTGTTTCTAATGTAAAATTATTTAAAAACAATTATGAAAGGTTGTGGGTCGGGGTACAGAAAGACTTGAAGAACTGGGAAAAGCTGCAATATCCCTCATGGGAAGAATTGCAGTGATAAAAATGAATATTCTACCCAAGTTTCTTTTTTTGTTTCAAATGTTACCAATTTTGAAAAATGAGATTAATTTAAATGAGTGGCAGAAGGGTCTCAATAAATTTATTTGGGCAGGGAAAAAACCAAGGGTTAAGTTCAAAATTATGCAAGACTTCCGTGAGAGGGGTGGACTCAAGGTACCAAATTTGAAATTATATTATGATGCGGTGGTTTTAACATTAATTAGTGACTGGGTAAATTTGACAAACTTTGAGATACTTTATTTAGAGGGATGGGATTTACTTTATGGGTGGCATGCCTATTTAATATTTAATAAAAAAATAGATTGGGCTTTTAAATCTCATATTTTAAGAATTTCTTTACTTAGGATTTGGAGAAAATATTATAAAAGTGATTTTAAAGTACCATTATGGGCTATACCTTGGCATGCGATAGAAGGAATAAAAAGAGGGGTTAAAATGGATATGGTGACTTATAGACAGTTACTTAAATGGGATGGACAAAACTGGCAATTAAAATCACGGGAAGAATTAGCACAAGAAAATTTTACTTATTCTTGGTTCCAATATAGGCAACTATTAGATAGATGGAAGATGGATTGCAAGGTGGGTTTTCTTAGAGAAGATGAAAATCTTATTAAGCAACTGAAGGATCAAAGACAAACCCACATTAAGAGAATTTATGGGGTTTTAGTTGAATTGGACTCAGAAACGGAACTAATTAAAGATTGTATGATTAGATGGGCGCAGAACTTTGGTGAGCCAGTTTCATTGGACACCTGGGAAACTATTTGGGTGAGAAATGTCAAATTTACTCAAGCACAGAATTTAAGGGAGAATTTTTATAAAATGTTTTATAGATGGCACCTTGATCCACAAAAAATGTCTTACATGTACCCTGACGTGCAACCTAAATGCTGGAGATGTGGTTATAAGGAGGCTTCCTATTATCATATTTGGTGGTCATGTAGAGAGATAAAAGCATTTTGGATCAAAATATGGTGGAATATCCAGAGAATTTTTAGAAGGAGGGTAAAATTTACTCCGCAATTATTTTTGTTAGGTATTGTTACAGATTGTGATACAAAGGAGGTTGTATTGATGTTAAATTTGATCACAGCCGCGAGGCTGTTAGTTGGACAATATTGGAAGAAGGAATCTTTGCCTACATTGCAGGAATGGTTTTTTAAAGTAGCTTATCTGGCGGAAATGGCAAAGATTTCGGCTTTCTTAAAGCAACAAACGCAAGAGAAGTTTTTTGCTATCTGGGACAAATGGATAAAATTTATACAATTTAGATTGGGTATACAAAAATATCATATAGCTTTTTCATAAGTTTTATTTTTATATATATTATAGATATCTTTTTTATATATATAAATATAAAGTTTTTAATTTAATTTTTATTTTTTTTTTATTTCTTAAGCCTATATTCTGCTCTGGGAAGCTCAGGGGGGGGGAAGGGAGGGTTTTTGGGGGGGGTGTGGGGTGGGGGGTTTTTTTTTTTTTATATGTATTGTTTAATTTTTTTTTCTTTTGTATATGTTGTTTTTTGTTCTGTATTGTTCTTGTTTTTCTTGTAAAATTTATAAAACTTTTAATTAAAAAAAAAAAAAAAAAGAAGGAAGTTGAATGTTGAATATTTTGGATATAAAATGCAAAGGCAAGAGTCATTAGAGAAGAGCTTGCTGTTTGGAAAAATCAAAGACAATAAAAAGACAATAGAAGACTAGATAATAGCATTGATGACACAAATAGGAGGTTATAGGGGCTCAAGGAAGCAGGCACAGATAGACCATCCTGGCAAACTGACATCCTTCAGATCACAAGGAGTTAGAAGCCACTGAAACATCAAAGAGAAACATCAATGCATAAATATAAATTTAATTTGTAACATTCTATGTTATTAGTTGAAATTGAAGAAGAGGCTTTTCTACTGTACTTGCAGAACCCAAAGTCACCTGGCTGCCTGGTCAAAGAAGCCTCTGAGTATAGCTTTCTTCTTATTGGGACCTATTGACTATATTTGCTATAAGGTTCTCAGGAGAGAGTCAGGTCATGCTTTTAATTTCTGGCAATGTCCGAAAGAATTCCAGGAGAATTTCAGGAGATTTAGAGAGAAACTAGAACCAACCCCGACTGCTCTTTAGAAGGCCAGATCCTGAAGTTGAAACTCAAGTTCTTTGGCCACCTAATGAGAAGGAAGGACTCTCTGGAGAAGAGCCTAATGTTGGGAAAGATTGAGGGCAATAGAAGAAGGGGACGACAGAGAATGAGATGGCTGGATGGAGTCACTGAAGCAGTAGGTGTGAATTTAAATGGACTCCAGAAGATGGTAGAGGACAGGAAGACCTGGAGGAACATTGTCCATGGGGTCGCGACGGGTCGGACACAACTTCGCAATTAACAACAAGAACCAGCTACTTGGTGCTGCTTGTAATGTTGGACCAGAAAGAAATGGTTTCATGGGTGGGAAAGCCATCAAAATTAGACCAAGGGGTCCTTGCCAAACATTCAAGTTGTGGTCTAATTTAGGAAACCCAGTTGGATCCCTTCTTTATTGGTATTTTAGTGTGGATGTCAATGCTACTAACATCAGATGTTCTTGCTTTGACAAAAGATGGAGATGCAGCCATTTTTCTCTATTGCTTTTAGAGTTAGTTGATGCTGGGAGGGGGAATGTGGATGAGACTCCAGCTAGTCATAACAATAATAATTCAGCTGTGGGAACCCAAGGTCATTGGGCCCAGAGTTGATAGAGTTTTGATGGGCTGGAGAGCTCAAGCTAATTGGGGAATGTGATTTATGACTGTATATTGGAGGAGGGAATTGTGCTTTGTTACTTTGTATCCAGGGGAGGGGAATTTAATTTCTGGTTTCAACTATATATTGCTGATACTTTGTTTTTCGAATAAAAGATTCTTTAATGTAAACAATGCCTCGAAGTTCTTTTGAAGAGTTTTATCTGTTGGAACCATGACAGTGGTGCTAAAACATTTTTTATAGGCCGCATGCATGGTTTAGGCAGTTGGGTAACCTGAATTTGCCTACAAACTTCTTCACTCCTTGTTCCCGTTCTAAACCTTGAGGTTGAATCTCATACTCAAAATACATATAGTCCTTGACTTATAATGACAATTGAGTCCAACACTTCTGTGGCTAGTTTCTGGTTTAATGTCATGGTTCCGACAGATGAAACTCTTCAAAAGTATCTTTTATTCGAGAAACAAAGTGTTGGCACTACATAGTTGAAACCAGAAACTAAATTCCCCTCCCCTGGATACAAAGTAACAAAGTGCAATTCCCTCCCCCAATAAACAGTCATAAATCACATTCCTCAATTAGCTTGAAGCATGGGCTTTCTCCCCAGCTCTCCACCTGCCAAAACACTATCAGCTCTGGGCCCAATGTCTTTGAGTTCCCACAACTAAGTTATTATTGTTATGACTAGCTGGACTCTCATCCCTATTCTCCCCCCCCCAGCAGCAACTAATTCTAAAAGCAATAGAGAAGATGGCTGCATTTCCATCTGTTGTCAAAGCAAGAACATCCGAGGTTAGCAGCATTGACATCCAGTGTGATTGTTTTCTTGTTTAGCAACAGGGATCTTGGGAAGGGTACACCAATCTAGTTAAGCAGATTGGTTTCACCTAACATGTGGAAATTCCCTTCAGCATATATTTGTTTTTCGTTCCATATTTTGCACACCTAGGTTTACCGCAAAGTGGTGAGAGAGAGCACCACCACTGTCCATCTGGAAACAATGGAGGCTGGAGCTGAATATTGTGTTAAAGCTCAGACCTACGTGGAAGCTATCAACAGGAGCAGCAATTTCAGCGAGGTGCAGTGTGTGAAATCAGAAGGTGAGAACAAAGTGAATACAAGGGGTGGGATGGACTCACAGATTTTGCTAAGCTGTTGACTGCATGGACTCTCCAGAGCAGAATTTCTCAACCTTGGTCACTTTAAGATGTGTGCTAGGAAATTCTGGAAGTTGAAGTCCACACTTCTTAAATCTGTCAAAGTTAAGAAATGCTGCTCCAGAGGGAGCAAAGCCAAAAGATTTAATTATCGCGGGGAGGATTGAAGGGAGGGGGGGGCTAATTTAAAGGGTAAAATTATTGTTGTAGTATTAAGCCTCGTAAGACCTTAAAGAGTCCATTGCACCCCATAAAGCCCCACCTTGCTCCCCAAATTGTGCCCTCTTTCTCCCTTTTGAGGGATTTTAGAGGCAAAACGAGTACCTCTCTTAATTGCCTCTAAATAACTTTCTCAAATGAAGAAAAAGACAAAACGTGTTACAGCCATTCTTTCAAATGATATTATACTGTTGTTGCTTATCAGCCACCTGGTTCCCTTGAGAAGGCACAAAAACAAATGGAAGACCCTAGGGCCTTGGGTGTCCACATGGTTTAATCATGGTTTACTGAACCACATTTGGTTTATAAAACAATCATCCATCTTGGTTTGCAAAACATAATGGTTGGGTTTTCATAGCCAGTTATAAAAGGGAAGGGGGTTTATAGGCTCTTTCAAATAAATGATGAATCATAGACATAAACACAGCTTTTATGGTTATATAGTCCTACCTTTTCAAGTTAGGACATTCACATTCACAACTAGAACATCTCAGCAAACAGTTGCCCAGCTTCTGCCTGAAGATCTTTATAATAACCCTGCTAACCCAGTAACTGTTATTTGTGTGACCTAAAATTTTCTCTCTGAGGCTCTCCAGACAAATTCTCAGTGAATAGAAATTCTGGATTGGATAAATTGATCTGGGAAAGGTTTGCTAATAATACATGTCCAAGAGATATCTGCAGAAGAAACTTACTCAGGTGAAAATTTGGAGAATGCTTAAAAGCTATTGAGAACACTGATTGCAAAATGCACCTATTCTGTTTGTTTGTTTATATTATTTTTTTATGCTGCCCATCTCTCTGTTTTTAAACATGTTCAATGCAAAGCCTTCACTGAGATATTGATATTTTCTTTTGCCTCCAGATGCCAAAGCCATACTATTGACCTTTGCCCCACTCTTCCTGGTTACTTTTTTTGTGGCTGTTTTGGTCCTTCCTTTTCTTGCTTGGAAAACCTGTCGGATCTGCCAGTATTCCTTCTGTCCAGATGAGGTCCTTCCAGATACTTTGGTAAGAAGCTCTGCTCGGTGTTTCATTTGTGCTTCTGAGCTCATCTACCTGAGGTCCAAGATACCTTGCTATTATTTTTTAAGGATATGTCTTCAAGACACAGCTTTCATCTACTTCCTTGCACAAAGCGGAGCCGGTTCCATTTCATATTTCTCCCATTCAGTGTTGAAATGTAGCCTCTATCTATCTCCCAACACAAACTTTGCTACACTGTATGCATGATCAGCAGCAGTTCAGCAGCAACTGGTTGATGGAATATGATCAGCTCCTATTTCTTGCTTTTCGCATTGTGATATGGGTACACCCCCCCTTCTAATCCCATTTGGCAACTTCTCTCAATATCCATTTTATCTTGAGCAGCAGGTGTGATCAGGCACCAATGTTGGACAAAGAGGTAATCTATGAATAATTCATGGGTTGTTGAGGGGGCACAGCACTGCTTGATCTGTTTGGTAAGTGGTGGTTTCCCAGTAAAGCAGGAAATCCACCAATTATTTCCTTCAACTTATCTCCACATTAAAATTGTCAGGACAGCATTACTTACTGCCTTCTTAAGGAGGCATAGTAGAAGTCAGTGGGCAGGAAAAGGCAAATTATGTCATCTCACAAACTGGAGGAAGACTTGTTAAACTAGCTACCTGTATGTTACTTAATAGTGTTATACTGGAGAATGTGTACTTTATAAGTGTAGGTTCTTCTGCATTAATAGGAGTTTGAGGTATCCTTGCACTCGCTGAACTCGGTTGTTTTCTTGCAGATATTTCATTACCCAAACTAGGCCACATCATCAGTGCTGCTGATGTTACCTAATTTGGGTAATGAAATGTCTGCAAGGAAACAACCAAGTGTTTTAATAGCATTTATAGCCCACATTTTTTCTACGAAGATACTGTATTGTCCTGTTTTCCTGAGAATGTATCTGAAATCCCATTTAACAGACATCCTAACTTGTATCATTCCAGTCCAGGCTGTTGATACTCAAAGTTTTCACCTTCTGAAAGGATTCCCAAGATGGTTGGGTATTGAGGGATCTCTTTGGATCAGTTTCCAACCTGGTTTGGCCAACACAGGATTTAGGTTGGTGTAAGGTGGGTGGTTACATCAACAGAGCAATTAATGCTAGGCATCAAAGATAAGTTATAGAAATTTAGAATGCAAAATACGCAAAATAGCAAGGCACTTGGAACAGAATATGTATAGTTTTATATTTATATTGTATAGCTCAAGTTGGCTTTTTCCAAATCCTTTGGACAAAGATTTACAGAATTCTCAGCTTTTGAGCTAAGAATTTTGGAAAACGTAGTGTGATATATCTTAAGTACAACATCTGGGGAAAGTTGTGGTATTGCATTGTATTTATATTAGAATGTTAGGTATATCATCTTCTCTGTGGGTAAAGCTGATTTCTACCGTAAAAAGGATGTTTCTAGGTATTCTGCTCCACTTAGCTTACCTTTTCTCTTCTAGAAGCTAACAGCATCACCTGCTAAGATACTAAAGGACAGGGGAGAAGATATGGAGAAATGTGATGAATCAGTGCAAGTGTTGCCTTCCGAAGAGGTTTTGCTTCATTTTTGGATCCATGAAACTCTTTAATATCACCCTGAAGACACTAATTGCAAACCGAGATTAGCAGTCTTGCTCTCCTTCTTGACACACAAGGTTTCTACTGAGAAGGACAGATTGCACAAAGATGGGAACCAAAATAAATATGGTATCAGGAACAGGTCACAGCAGCCTGGATTTCTTCATCCTTACTTGACAGAGAAGTGTAGACAGGTTGCGTGGTGAAAACAGACCATCTTCACAATTACTTACTGAATTACTGTCTATTTACTTGGGATGTAAGGCCCTTGACCTGATTCCATTCCTCTGTTGTTGTTTTTGGTTCTTTAGAAGGGTAATATTGGAAAGAGGCACAAGTCAGTTTTACAGATCATGCTTGCAAGCAAGGAAAAACAGAAATAGTGGGAAGCATTTTGTCAGTAGTACAGTATACTCCTCTGTAAGAAAGCAAGTTGCATGAAGTGGATCTTTTTGGAATTATTTATTACAATCCTTGTTGGCTTTAGCCACAGGTCCTCAAGTATTCAGAAAGCAATGGTGATCTAGATGCTACTATATTTCCACTACTACAGGGAGGCCATCAATGAGAGCCTGAAACTCAGAAATTTGGGTTGAGATTTAGTGGATCGTTCAATCAATTGTTCAAAGAAACGTTCAATCATAATCATTCCTAGGCATTATGACCTACTGGAAAGATTCATTGTGATACTGTCATTACACATATAGCTGCAAATCAGCACATCTAGATAAGGTCCTCTTTTTCATGTATGAGTTCTAAAATCAAATACAGAACTCATTAACTCATGGCTATCTGGCTGGCTGTATTTTGGAGCAAGTTCTTCCTTTTCCAGGTTCCTAGATAGCTGTCTATTTCCAACGGCCAAATTCATGGCTGTTTTCCATAAGCTGAAATGCTTACTGCAGAACTGGAATTCAAAGTTTGGAAGCTTTCTATTCCTGGATGAGATTTTAAATCAGTGGTTCTCAACCTGTGGGTCGGGACCCCATTTAGGGTCAAATGACCATTTCACGGGGGTCGCCAAACCACACTGTCCGCCATTTTTTTCCCTTTTCCCTAGCTGTCCTACTCCCTCTTATTGGTGGCCACACCCACTTGGGGGTCACCACAACATGGGGAACTGTATTATGGGGTCACGGCATTAGAAAGGTTGAGAACCACTGTTTTAAATGAAAAAAAAAGTTTGGTCTTTGCTTGTGCTTTTTAACAATGCAGGCACTGAAATGCTTAAATGCATATTTTAAATACTGAGCTGAGCTTTTATTTACTTTGTGGCTGTAGATGTGAATTTTATTTCTATATTTACAGCTTGATCACTCCTAAGATTTTTTTATGGCTGCAAATATGTGGGAAGACATCAGATAATGCAAAATTATGGGGCTGGGAGGGGAACTAAGCTCTGGCAAATTCACATAGGTTGAGTAGCTTGGTTCTCACTTCACACTAAGCCATAATGTGGTTTGTTTAGCTTTGGCCTATTGCATTGTGAAAATCCAGTGTTGTCTTATAGATAGCTTATGAGTTAGCGTGAGCTGAACTTATGCATAGTATATCCAACAATTCTAGCAAAATGAGATTGTATGGCGATGTCCAAAGATCCTTTTAAGATTTGCTAAACTTTTCACTTGCGTGTCTGCCTGTACCTTTAACAAGTGCACAAAAGACAGAATCTTAATCAGCCCAGCACTTTGTGTCACTGGCTCTGCAGGCAGGAAAAAAACTGCACCAAGAAAATCTTGGTCTGTCATGCAGCTATTAAACAACAGTCTTCATCTATTAAAAAACAAAGGCAAACTGTTACAGAAGTTTCAAGGAAGGTTGAAGGGGGACAGTTAGAAATTGTAGCTGATCTTTCTTCCCCGTCAGTCAGTTATGTCTGTCGTTAAGAAAATGGAAATGTTAGAATTGCTATGAACCTGGCTGCCTGGTTCAAGAGCAGTGTGTTGCAATAATACAACAGAATCAGGATATGTGATTTATGATTTGAAAGTTAGATCTGATTTAAATATATACAAAATAGTCCCTAAGTATGCATTTGGTATTTACAATGGATTTATGGCAACTTTTAGTAATGTAATATAAATTTGACTGATGTGTGCCTTTTTTATACTGTAATTTAGTGTAATTCAGTATACCTGTTAATTCAGGCAAAAAGAATGTATAACTAATTCTCAGTTTATACAATCACAATTGGAACTTGTTGCTAAACAAGGAAGTAGTTAAACAAGCTGCATCCAATTGTATCTTTTTTGATGCAATCATTAAGCAAATCTGGCTTTCTCCATTGACTTTGCTGAAAACTCCTAATAATTTTAAAAGCCTAATATTTTAAGGTGTGCAACTTGCCAAGGGTAGGAGAACATTTATTCTAAAATAGACCACATTATTTTAGAGATTAGACAAGCGAACAGAAGTCTTAGTTTTACACATCCTAGTCATTCCCACCATAAATTTCAGACAACTCAAGTTAGGGAAGGCACACATTTTAAACATACCACGTGGTTGCATAGAGGAGAGAGAGAGAGAGAGAATCACTATTTCTTATTTTCCCTTTTAAGTACCTTTATTTAGCCAAATTGGTTTCCCAGCAAAGCCCTAAGCAAAGTCTATTTTTCTTTCATACACTACACAGTCGAAATCTCCTTGTGAGACTTCTTTCCTAACACAGTCGAAGTTTCCTTGTGAGACTTCTTTCCAAACACAGTCGAAGTCTCCTTGTGAGACTTCTTTCCTAATACAGTCAAAGTCTCCTTGTGAGACTTTCCAAACCTAAAGGGCACTACACAGTCGAAGTCTCCTTGCAAGACTTCTTTCCTAACTTTGCTTTGCTTACAGGGCCTTACCAGCTAGTTGCCCAAATCCATTTTTTTTTTCATTCACTCATTCCATTTCATTTTCACACACTCTCCCTTTTCCCTAACAAAAGGTTCTGTGCTCTGGCCAACCCCCATGCTGTCCAGGTTCTGCCAATCAAACAGATCCTTTCTGCAGCTAGGAAAGACCAGAAGGAGCAAAATCCAATTGTGAGTGTCTACAATAGACTTTATGGTCTCTGTAACGGTTTGAGGATCCACACGAAAGGTGGCAGTATCCTTTTTCCAAACAACCAAATCGGACGGGGAGAAAGGGGTGTGGGTTAAAATGTGTCCTGTCTGGCCCCTCGGTCGCCCGGGTATGGGCCTGTTCAACAAGGGGGCCATGAAGGTCGGTTCAGGGTTATCTAAGGGAGGCTGGGGGTCCAAGTTGACTTGGGTCGGGTTCCTCTGTCTGGACAGTTCGGCCCAGCAATACCAGTACGGTAGTTGGGTTGGCTCTATCCTTGACCTAAGTTCTTTTAGTGTTCTGATTTCTAGGGTGCCACCTTCGGGCCAAATTTGTCTCCCGCGGTCATCTTTAAGCAAAGCCCATTTCCTACATAATTCCTCTAATCGCTTCTTCTTCATTCCAGCCTGGACAGGAAGCTGATTCCTGTCCCAGGCTTCGAGCAAGCTCTCAACTGGGAAACCCACTTCGGCCCTTGAATTGGAACTCCCCAACCTTTTATAACGGGGTTTTCCTTTCAATGTTAAAGGGTACTAACAGTCGAAGTCTCCTTGCGAGACTTCTTTCCCAATACAGTCGAAGTCTCCTTGCGAGACTTCTTTCTCCTAATACAGTCGAAGTCTCCTTGCGAGACTTCTTTCCCAATACAGTCGAAGTCTCCTTGAGACTTCTTTCTCCTAATACAGTCGAAGTCTCCTTGCGAGACTTCTTTCCCAATACAGTCGAAGTCTCCTTGCGAGACTTCTTTCTCCTAATACAGTCGAAGTCTCCTTGCGAGACTTCTTTCCCCTAATACAGTCGAAGTCTCCTTGCGAGACTTCTTTCCCAATACAGTCGAAGTCTCCTTGCGAGACTTCTTTCTCCTAATACAGTCAAAGTCTCCTTGCGAGACTTCTTTCTCCTAATACAGTCGAAGTCTCCTTGGGAGACTTCTTTCCCCCAATACAGATTCTCGGAGGTGAGCGGCCACCTCCGCTCGGGGCTGCTGCTTTAATATTTACTGGCAGAAGGGGTCCTGGCTTGCCCAGAATAGGGTTCTCTTTCTCTGACCGCTCGGTCCTCCTCTCTCACCAGAAGGTCTCACACTCCGGTGCACCCCCCTTGCTTTCCCGAATTCCGCCGGTCACGGCTCCACTGGAGCTAGCAGCAGGTCGCGGTGCGGCTAGAGGGCACACGGAGGGAGCGAGCTCCAGCTGATTCTAAGAGGATGATGCCTCACACACACACTCATGCATTCTTCCTTTCGTTCCCCCAGACCCTTTAACCTAATAGATTTAAATTTGGTGGCACTTACCCTCTTTCCTGGTAGCTGTTCGAGCGTAAGACTCAAAAACTCCCTTTACTACCCAATGCCGACCGGGCAGGGTCCGAGGAGGCTTCCCCACGGATCAAAGTGTCCGCTGCCGGCTGGGTGATGACTCTTCCGGGCCCGGTCCGGTGGCTGGGTGAGCTGGAAGTCCCTTCGTGGGTCGCCAGATTGTTGGGAGGAACTCCCCCGTTCGGTTCTTCCAGCCGGGATTCTCCTTGATGGCGCAGTGCAGAAGAAATAGATCGTGAAGCCAGCTACCAGAAAGAGGTTTAATTTCGAGGATCAGCGTTGAGTGACAATTCAGCTCGAGTCCCCGGCTAGCTAGACAGAGTGATCTTTAAACAGGGGTTTTTATACCCTTTTGTGGTTTCCAAACTTGTCATTTCTGATTGGTAACAAACTTACCATTTCTAATTGGTGAGTTAAAATTTGTCTTTCTTGATTTGCTGGTTTGTGACTATTGTTAGTTCCTTTTTCTTGCCTAAAAGGTGTTAATTACTTTTATTGTTGTGTCCTGATTGCTGCTAGCTGGTTCCTCATTGTGTGTGTCAAGTGTTTGCTGTTTTAGCCTCAGGCTGCTGTTGACCCAGTTTAGTTGGGGTGTTCCTAGATTATTTCTTAGTTGGGCTGGGGAGGGGGTGTCCAACTCTCATCAATATATAAAAAAATTGAAGTGCAACATTTAAAGTGGTATTGTCACATATTTACATGTCTGAAATCAGACAAACTTCAATATTATCTCAATACTCAGATTTCTTTCCTGTTAAAAGTCTCAACCGCTAATGATCAAAAATACTTTCTGGAAAATCTTTGATTTAGTAGTTAAAACATTTTCCTGATAATATTTTTCTTCCTAGTGAGAAAAAGATAATTCAGTGAAGCTCACTAAGGTGAATCTCTTATTATTTTATATGTTTAGACCTCAAGCAAGTACAATTCATATATAAAATTATAGGAATACAGAGATATTCAAAACAGGGCTAGAGGCAGGAATGAGCTACATGTGTTTATTCAGGAATGAAGCAAGGGTATTTTGCTCAGAGATTATATACATGTTTCAGCCATAATATTAAATTGATTGGCTGTTCATCTTTATTCCATTACAAATCTTAATTAAAGATTATTTCCAGGCAATCATGCAAACATTTGTAAACTAGAATTACATTTTTAAGAATATATATTAAATCTTGCAGAATTTGCAGTTATATACGTCTAAGTATAAATACACAGTTTACATTGTGGGACAATTTGATTTGCTAAAAGTGTTTCTGACTGAATTGAGAAGCCAGAAGCGCTGTACATCTCCCTTTAAAGCAAAAGATGATTACAAACTGCAGTTGACAATCCCCATTCATTCCGTGCAACAGAAAAAAAAAATCCCATCTCTTAAAAGCAAAGCCAGCGGCAACATAAAACCCTTTGTCTTTTTGCTTCGGAACATTTTTTCCAAAATCTTACACAAATTCTTGATTTCAAGATCCGAAACGATTGACCAAATTTTATTGGATCAGCTGACAATCCTAACTGTGATTTCACGTGTCTGGAAAGGCAATAAATTATATTTTTGTTCTCTCTCTGCATTTCAACTGACAAGAGAGGGATGGTTTTCCTAGCCAGCCCTGGTTTTCACGCGCCAGGACTTAAGGTCGCCATTTGCTATTCCTCCTTCCGCAATAAAATGCCTTTAGCGCCATCTAAGTAGATCCACAGGGATCAGCAGCTCCTCTCTTAATCCAGCCACCGCTGGAGGAGAAAAAGAAGAGGGAGGGAAAAATTGTTTTAAACGTAAAAGGAAAGAAGCGATAGATACCGCGAACCAAAAAAAAGAAGAAGAAAAGAAAAAAAAAATCACTGCAGCAAACTGCATTCCCCAAAAAGCCCGGGGGCACGCTCCAGCGTGCGCACAAATCTTTGCGTAGTTCCTGTGCGACCCGCGGCATATGACGCAGAAGACCTGCGCGCTTGCATTTCCGGTCCTGGAATTTTAGGCGCGTGGGGTAGGAGGTGCCTGACTTGCTCTCTGCAAACATGCGGCCCGGTAAGGCGCGTGTGAGGAAACCTTTTCGGCGCGGTCGAGTTTATTTGCGGCGCTTGTGTGGCGACTACACGGCCCAGCTGGTGGGAATGGAGGGATTCGGGCGCACGGTTGCTGTGATCATTTCTGATTCTGATTCTCTGCCTGCAGGTTTTACCTCTCGCGGAGGACGTGGGGACCGTGGAGGACGTGGAGGCTTCCGAGGAGGCCGAGGTTGGTTACTCTTGCGAGTTTCTTCTCTTCCCCCCCCCCCTCCCCATCTTTGTATTGGCTTGGAATGGCTCCTTGCTGTTCCACCGTCGCCTAGACCTCGATTGCAGAGAGTGGGTGAGTGATATTGTCAAACTTAAGATTCTGTCAATGGAAGCTTCCGGTAAAAGTATCTAAAACTTTCGTTGTGGTTCTTGCGTGGACTATCTCGCAAAGCTAACATCAGTCTTGTAAGTCTGAAAGTAGCCCTCCGATCCCTCATTTTACTCTCCTGAAAACGAGGGTCTTTTCTGTGATGCTTCCTCCATTCTTCCTGTTTCGGACTCGAGTTTCGTCTATCGGACCATTATCTAAGCTGCAGCTCTCTCCCGTCTCCCAAAGTCGTTCCCACATACCATCAAAGTAGGGGAAACCAAAGGAACTCGTAGATTTTATTTATCAAAATTATATATCCCCCCCATTTCACTAACATGACTTTTTGAGTGGCATACAATAAAGCAAACAATTAAAACAAATCTAAAACAACCTTCAAACAAAATAGAAATAAGATCATAGGAAAAGCTGCCAAAATCTCACATTCAGTGCTCCATGGATTCCTCGTTATCATTACCATTTTGGTGAGCTGAAATCAAAATAATTGGTTTTTTTACTTGAAAGTTATGCTTAGTTGCATTTTCTGTTAATAGTTTAGTCAATATGTGACTAATGTACATCTGATGTATTAACTTTTCCCTGAGATTACAGGTTGGCCCTTGCTAGTGTGGTACTTGAACCACCACCACCACGATAAGATGTTGTGATGCCATTACCACATCAACAGATATAATTATGGTAGAAATTTATGTTGCTTAGAGCATACTTTGTCTGCTCTGTTTTTGAATCTAATGTAGGTTTCTAAACTAGTCAGCAGTAATGGAGTAATTTGCTGAAGAATTAATGGGTTATATAATGACATTGATTACTAGCTATCTGTTGCAAATAGCTGTATTGTATACAACTGTATACAGATTGTATACAATAATTGTATACAGATAATTGTATACAGATTAGTCCTTGCTTAAAGATCCTAATTGGAACCAGCAACTCCATTGCTAAGCAATAGTTATTTGAAACACAGTGTAACTAATACTTGATAGTTTACTGATTCTGCTTGTCAGAAGACAGCTATGAAACATACAATAGGACTCTGCAAAGGGCATACGTGTAAGGATCAGATTGTAAAGTTATGTTTTCAGTACATTGTAACTTCAAAGAGTTGCTAAACAGGGCATTCATTAAGTGAGGATTATCTGTAGGCTTTTGCTTTCTTTTACCTATTCTGTTGCTTGTCAAAATGAGTAAGGTTTATGGTTCTTACCTAAATTTGCTTTAAAGATGTTAATAGAAAAGAGTATATGTGGCTTGGGGTTGAACTGTGGACTTCTTAGTGCTCTCTGAGCTTGGTTGTTTGCTGCCAGATTAGTTTGCTTCTGACATTACCTGGTTGGCTAATGAAACATCTGCAAGCAAACAGCAAAACTTAAAGATGTTTCTCTGAAAATTGTTTTTTTTTTTTTTTTAATTGTGGTCTTGTCGGCCCTGGCTCAAATCTGTATTTGTCAGTGGAACAAATAAAGGTCTAAATCTTTTTGGATCTTTTCTGTTTAGTTATCCTATGGGTTTCTTTTCAAGAGAAATGATAAGACATTGCTGAGCATCTAATCTTGATTTTTATGAGGAAAGTGGAAGTACACTGTGAAAAAGGTCTCCTTTTCGCAGAACTTATGTTTTGAGGGGAACACATTGGGGATAAGTGTTGAGCTAATATCATCAATCTCAAACTTTGGCTGTACAGGTTTTATCTTGCGGTCAATTTTTGGGATGTTGTTTAATACTGATCAGGTGCTGTCTATGCCATCTGTTCCCCCTCATTGTTCATAGGAGGTGGATTTATATCTCGTGGAGGTGGACGAGGTGGTGGTGGTGGATTCCGAGGTGGAAGAGGAGGAGGTGGTAGCTTCCGAGGTGGACGAGGAGGTGGTGGTAGCTTCCGAGGTGGTGGACGAGGAGGACGGGGTGGCTTCAAAGGAGGCAAAAAGGTGACTATAGAACCCCACAGACACGAAGGTAAGACAACCCAATATGTCATATATTAGCTTCAATGTAAGGATATAATTTTATTTTTTTAGCTTTCTCTACTAAAAGGTTGATGGAGGAATAATGCCATAGGTATAGAAAAGGCACAGGCAGCCTGGAATTCCACACAGAATGCAATTCCAGAAGCTGTTTTTTGGCAGCATGAATAGTTGTTGAAAACTCTTGATACAATTTCTTGTTGATTTAAAGTTAGAAAAACTAGGAAACTGCCCTGTAAATTTTCACAATGTTGACTTATATCCTTGATGCTTCTTGATTATAGAGTATTGCAATGTGGTTTCATGGGACTAGCTTTTGGAGATCATTTGGGGGGGGGGAATGATTGGTGCTAACAGATGTTAGCATTAATAGACCCCATTATCTTATTACGTGAGCCATACATTAGTTACCAATAGGTTTCTAGGGGCAATTTGAAGTTTGGTTTTGGCCTAAAACCCTCTGTGGCTTGAAACCTATCTGCAGGACCACCTCTTCTATTTTAATTGGCCCTTCCAGTATGATTTTCCTGGAGGACGGCTAGTGTTAAACTTTACGTTCTCAAAATAAGGGAAATGATAATCAGAAGGTACTATTTCTCAGTGGCATTTCCAACCTTCTGAAATAGTTGGTTAAAATCTATTTTAGTCAGCTTGGCATCATAGCTTATATAATACACTTCCCTTAGAATTCCTCCATTCCTTCTAGCAGAGTGGGAGATACATATGATGGAATGCTGCTGAAAAACATATGGTGTACAATTTGTCTTTCTTTTTCTTTGAATGCATTTATACTGATCAAATGGTTTGGTATTTCATTTTAATACTTGGTTTTGTTAATAGTTTTGATTATTTTTCATTATTATTGTATTGCAAACTTGATTAAGAATTGGTTATTTTTAATTTGATTGATACTTACTGTGGACATTTTAACCATGTATAGATGTTTTCTATTGACTATTTTGTAAACCACCAAGGGTCTGTATTGATTTGGCAGTATACAAGTAGGAAAAGAAAGAAATCGTAAACCAGACTTAACAGTGTTTTTAAAAGAAAAAGAAATTTCCTTCCTCAAATGTAAGAATTACTCCCTTCAAAAATTCTGGCATCACCATTTTGCATCATGAAATTATTTCCTGTAAAGCTCTGACTGCCCCAAATAACATTAGATGTGCCCTTAATCGTCAAAATATTGGCTGTGTTTGAGTTATTTTCTTCTTACTCTCCTTCAGGACATAGTAACAATGTTATGTCCAAAATATTCACATATGTAATTTTAAAGTACTGCAAACCACTTTGTGAAGCCCTGTTTTAACAGGCAGCATACATTTTTGAACATACACACACATACACAAAAGCACGCAAACATTCAGCAAATTATACTGCTTTATACTCCAAATGGAGAGCTAGTTTGGTGTAATGGTTAAGCAACAGGCTTAAAGCTGTGAAAAGCTGTGAATTCTAGTCCCACTTTAGGCAGCTGGGTGATCTTGAGCCAGACATTCACTTTTAGCCCTAGGAATGGGGCAATGGCAAAAAATTTCTGAAAGATCTTGCCAAGAAAGCTGCAGGGACTTGTCCAGGGCAGTCACCAGGGGTCAAGACCAACTCAAAACACACTCATATTAGCTTATACCTCTTAATAGAGAACTCTATGCATCTGATGAAATGAGCTGCAGCTCATGAAAGCTTATACAGGCAGTCTTCGACTTATGGCCATAATTGAACCCAACATTTCTGTTGTTAAGTGAGACATCTATTAAGTGAGTTTTGCCCCATTTTATAACTTTTCTTGCCACAGTTGTTAAGTGAATCGTTGCAGTTGGTAAGTTAGTAACTCGGTTGTTAACTGAATCTGGCTTCCCCATTGACTTTGCTTGTCTGAAGATCGTAAAAGGGGATCACGTGACCTTGGAACACAGTAACGGTCGTACATATGAACCAATTGCCAAGCCTCTGAATTTTGATCACATGAACTTGGGGATAGTGCAAAGGTCTTAACTTTGAAAAAAATGGTCATGTCACATTTTTCAATGCCGTTGTAACAGTCGCTAAATAAACTGTTCTAAGTCGAGGACTACCTGAATCTTTGGATAAAATGTGCTAATCAGAAAAGGCACTACTGTACCAAATTCAGATTCTGGATTTGAGGGAGGGGAGGAGGGGCTCTTCTCCAGTAATACCTTGTTAGCTATGACCAAAATTATGGCCAGAATAGATGCTTTAGCTAGCTGATGAATAACAAGGCTGTGTCAATTACAGAATATTGGTTTATGGATGGAAAGTTGTTTAGACCCAAAGGCCATTTGCTCACAGTCGTTTGCTAGAGTATGCTGGTGGTGAGCAAGGCTGTCTCCATTACACCTCTCCTTTAACCCATTTTTTTTAAGACCATCTTCTGAACAGTCATTTGTTTCCAAGGAAGAAAAGTCTTAAGTTATTTCCCTAATAAATGCTTAGAATCTTTGCAAGTACATGATTTTGTAGAGTGCTGGAAAGCCTGACTTTTTATTGTACAGGTAGTCCTTGACTTATGACCACAGTTGAGCCCAAAATTTCTGGTTGCTAAATGAAATATTTGTTAAATGAATTTTGCCCAATTTAGTGAACTTCCTTGCCACAGTTGTTAAGTGAATCACTGCAGTTGTTAAATTAGTAACATGGTTTCAATTGCTAAGGCCTAATTCTAGCATTTCATTGTGCATTAATTACTTGAAACTGCTCCAACTAGGTTGGGCTACTTGATTGAAAAGAAGTCACATGTCCAGATAAAGCCTAATCTGACTCTAATATTTTCTTTATAGTAGTGTTTTAATAAAAAATATCCTTTAAATTTTAAATATCATAGGAAGCTATTGTTAAGCCAAGGAAGCACAGAACTTAGAACATTCATTTTAATAACATAAAAAATATATAATGCCTTTCCTTCCCCACTGGAAAATAATACATCTAACAAGACCTTGAAAAGAACCTGCTAAATCTGGAAATATTCTAGTTGTCACTGTTGTAAATAAGCCCTTTAAAGTTATTCACTCTGCCCCTCTCCGTGTTTGAGCACTAGAGACAGGGTTTCATCGAGTTTAGTTTTCGTGCCAAGTATTGAGGGGAGAGAGAATGCTCCCCCATTTCGCCTCTGCCAGCCGGCTCGTTTGCCTGTATAAAATTCCATGCATGTGCCTGTGTGTAATCCCTTGTTACCAATGGCTACTGCATGAGTGTTTAAATTCCAGGCTATAATAAGCTTAATGCGTTACTCGGAATACAAATAAACACAAGCTGCATAGTATGTATATTACAAATTCTTGGAAAGAGAGTTCATGAGCTGTTGACATAGACATGTTTTAAAGAGATGGTTGTTTTTCCTATTATGTTATTTGAAATTTCCATTTGGCTTCTTGACAAACTTAGAAAGTAGCAGCAGCAGGCTGAAATAGTCACAAGGTACCCTTGCTGTTTGTCTGATATGACAACTAGTCTTATGCTTGCTTTTCTGAGAATAAACCTAGTTAAACAGAATAAGAGTTGTTTCTGAATAACCAACTATAGGGGCTACGTTATGGATCCATGATTGGGGTTTTATTTGTATACCACTGGTCCTTTTTTGGGGGGGGGGAAGAAGAATAGCCTGTGAATAACTGAAGGATGGGGAAATAGCAACTATATTTCCTCTCTCTGTGTCATATTCTACAAACTGTGCTCTTAGAATGTTGACTAGAGGCCAAGGTCTGGAACATTTAAATATCTATGACTACTATATGAATTAATCTTTTGTATACCATACTTAGGTGTCTTCATCTGCAGAGGAAAAGAAGATGCATTAGTCACACTAAATCTGGTACCTGGAGAATCTGTATATGGAGAGAAAAGAATATCTGTAGAGGTGAGTATCAGGGAATTCTTTGGAAAATTACAAAACAATAGAAAACCTACAAGAAAGAGGAAACATAGAATAAGAGAATTGGACGGGGCCTTGGGGAACGAGGCTGCATACGTGCAGCTCGCACAAGCGACGGACTGGCCCGCTGCTTGCACGAGTTGGGCTGCAATCATGTGCACCAGTCCGCGGCCCAGTTGTAAATAGGCCACAGCCCAGTAGTGGGCTGTGGCCCAGGGGTTGTGGAATCCTGTTCTTGTCCAACCCCCTGCTCAAGCAGGAGACCCTATACCATTCCAGACAAGTGGCTGTTCAGTCTCTTCTTAAAAGCCTCTAGTGATGGATCACCCGCTACTTCTGAGGGCAAACCGTTCCACTGGTTGTTTTCATTGATATGAATTTTCTCCTTGGTTCCAGGTTGCTTCTCTCCTTGTTGAGTTTCCATCTATTATTTCTTGTCTTACCTCCTGGTATTTTGGTAAATAGGTTGACCCCTTCTTCTTTGTGACAGCTCCTCAAATATTGAAACACTGCTATCATGTCTCCCCTAGTCCTTCTTTTCACTAGACTAGTTGTAGGATTGTCTGTAAGTGCAGTTGGGAATATATGCAGTCCTTGATTTACAACCATTTGTTTAGCGACAGTTAGAAGTTACAGTGATTTACAGTAAAAAAGTGATTTACAACTCGTTCTCGCATTTATGTCTGTTGCAGCATCCCCAAAGTCACGTGACCAAAATTATGATTGCTTGGCAACCAGCATGTATTTACGACAGTTGCAGCATCCCAAGGTCATGTGATCACTATTTGTGACCTTCCCAGCCAGCAAGCAAAATCCATGATGGAAGCCAGATTTGTTTAACACAGTGGTTCTCAACCTGTGGGTCGGGACCCCATTTGGGGTCGAATGACCATTTCACGGGGGTCGCCAAACCATGCTGTCTGCCATTTTTTTCCCTTTTCCCTAGCTGTCCTACTCCCTCTTATTGGTGGCCACACCCACTTGAGGGTCACCACAACATGGGAAACTGTATTATGGGGTCACGGCATTAGAAAGGTTGAGAATCACTGGTTTAACAGCTGCACAATTCCCTCAACAACTGTAGTGATTTGGTTAACTGGCAAAAAAAGATGTAAAATCAGACACAACTCCTTAATCACCTTGTCTTGTAATGGAAATTCTGGTCTCAGTTGTGATCATAAGTTGAGAACTACCATAGTTAAGTTAGAAGCATGTTCCAAGGATTCTTTCATTTTATGAAGGCTTTCTCAATCCAGGATGCTTTGCTTTTCAACTCCAGGAGGGTGAAACAAAAGTGGAATACCGTGCCTGGAACCCCTTTCGTTCTAAGTTGGCTGCTGCCATCCTTGGAGGCATTGATCAGATTCATATCAAACCGGGAGCAAAAGTGTTATACCTGGGAGCAGCATCAGGAACAACGGTGTCTCATGTCTCTGATATAGTGGGATCGGTAAGAAACTGCTCAGAAGCCGAAATAGCGACTATAACCTGAGTAAATGTTAAAAGTGCCTCATCCTTGCCATAAGCTGCTGCTGCAATTGTTTTGCAGTTAATTCCTATTGAATCATTAGGCAAAACAATTTTCCTAAGCCTTAATGCATTTCCATGGATTTTGATTGGCTTCAGTGGCCAGTTGAAAGTTGCATTGGACCTCATTTTTAGATTTCTGGATGAGGGGAGACAATCTCTTCCTCAATTGCATATCAGAAGAAAGATAAGGGAAGAGGAGAAATGGTTCCCAATTGGGGATCCACCATGGAGGGCCAGTTTGGTGTAGTGCTTTAAGGCAGGGGTCACCAACCTAGGCAACTTTAAGACTGGTGGACTTCAACTTCCAGAATTCTCCAGCCAGCATGGTTGGCTGGGGAATTCTGGGAGTTGAAGTCCACCAATCTTAAAGTTGCCAAGGTTGGAGATCCTGCTTTAAGGTATTGATCTAGAAACTATGAAAGCTGGCTGGGTGACTTTAGGCCAGTCCCTCTCTTTCTCTCAGTCCAATTCACCTCATAAAGTTGTTGGGAAAATAGAGCGGGAGTATTAGGTATGCCTTGAGTTACTTATAAAGTAATGCTGTAAAGGCGGGATAAAAATCTAATCAATAAATATAATTGTGAGGTTGAGGCATGCCTCTCTATTACAATAATACCTAGCTAAAGAAAAATCAAGGGAAGCAACACAGGGAAGGGTTACTTGCATAGGATTGATCATTACTCTTCCAAATAATTATTTTTAAATAGTTTCATTTAACAGCACCCCCCAAGATATGAATATTTTCTCTGTCTGTTGGCCTCCATATATATGTAGCCAAGCAAGGCACCGATTCTCCTTTCTTCCTGTTTCTGGTTGAACAGGAAGGGCTTGTGTATGCTGTGGAGTTCTCCCATCGCTCAGGTCGTGATCTCATCAATGTAGCAAAAAAACGGACCAACATCATTCCTGTCATTGAGGATGCACGACATCCACACAAATATCGCATGTTGATTGGTAAGATGTAAAGCTATGATTCCTGCCCAAAGAGACCCATGTGTGCTAATTTAAGAGCTTCTTAGAGGGGAGTCCCTGTCTGTTGCTTTCTTCCGCTATTCCGGGGGAGTAGGGTGGGGAGATGAGCAACTACAGAAACTATGACTTGTGGATTTCAACTTCCAGAATTCCTGAGCCATCGTTCTGGGAGTTGAAGTCCACATGTCCAAACTCCGAACCGACCAGACACTTTTAAAAGCCTATATTAGGACTTATTTAGTGGCGATACGAGCGGCAAAATGTTCGCATTTTTCCACACTTATTGCATCTGCAGAATCTTGCCCCGCCGCCCTGTTTAGGGTGACCCGTTCCCTACTTAACGTTCGGGAAGCCGGGGAGCCCTTGCACGGTAGGGCGGAAGAATTTGTGCAGTTTCTATCAGACAAAATCGCTCAGATTCGGACAGACCTAGACTCCGATTGGGCAGGGCCTTCTGAGATGACCGGGGCAGGTCTTAGCCCAGTTTTATGGGATGAATTTGAGTCCGTGACCGCTGAGGATGTTGACAGAGCGGTGGGAGCGATGAGCGCCTCCACTTGTTTATTGGACCGTGTCCTTCCTGGTTGGTCTCGGCCGCCAAGGAGGTGACACGAGGCTGGCTCCAGGTGTTGATCAACGCTTTGTTGAGGGAGGGGTCCTTCCTGCAACCGTTGAAGGAAGCTGTTGTGAGGCCCCTTCTCAAGAAGCCTACCCTGGACCCGGCTGATTTAAATAACTTCCGTCCAGTCTCCAATCTACCCATTTTGGGTAAGGTTGTAGAGAGAGTGGTGGCGCTCCAGCTCCGACGGTCTCTGGATGAAGCGGATTACCTAGACCCTTTTCAATCTGGCTTCAGGCCCGGCTTCAGCACAGAAACTGCTTTGGTCGCGCTGATGGATGATCTCTGGTGGGCCCGAGACGGGTTATTCCTCTGTCTTGGTGCTACTTGACCTCTCAGCGGCTTTTATTTATTTATCTTATTTATTTATTTATGAGACTTATATACCACTTTAAGTGCAAGCACTCTCTAAGCGGTGTACACCAGTAAGCAATGTATATATATATTTATATTGCCCCCAACAATCTGGGTCCTCATTTTACCTACCCCAGAAGGATGGAAGGCTGAGTCAACCTTGAGCCGGTGAGATTTGAACCGCTGACCTGCTGAACACAGTCAGCTAAAGTGGCCTGCAGTACTGCACTCTAACTGCTGCGCCACCTCGGCTCTTTTGATACCATCGATCATGGTATCCTTTTGCGACGACTTCGAGGGGTGGGAGCGGGAGGCACCGTTTTACGGTGGTTCTCCTCCTACCTCTCTGGCCGGTCGCAATCGGTACTGGTGGGGCAGAGGTCAACCCCAAGGCCCCTTGAATGCGGGGTGCCACAGGGGTCGGTCCTCTCCCCCCTCCTATTTAACATTTACATGAAGCCGCTGGGTGAGATCATCAGACAGCACAGGGTGAGGTTTCATCAGTATGCTGATGATACCCAGCTATATATCTCTTCCCCGAGCTCTCCCAGTGAAGCGGCTGATGTGATGGGCCGTTGCCTTGAAGCCGTGAGGGTCTGGATGGGGGTTAACAGACTCAGGCTCAATCCTGATAAGACCAAGTGGCTTTGGATGTTGCCTCCCAAGGATCATGTTAACTGTCCAGTGTTGACTCTAGCATGGGAAAATATACCCCCTTCGGAGTGGGTTCGCAACTTGGGTGTCCTCCTTGATCCACAGCTGAAATTGAAACATCATTTGACAGCTGTGGCTGGGAGGACCTTTGCACAAGTTCGTCTGTTGCACCAGCTGCGACCCTACCTGGACCGGGAGGCTCTCCTTACAGTCACTCATGCCCTCATCACCTCACGTCTGGACTACTGCAACGCGCTCTACATGGGGCTACCCTTGAAAAGTATTCGGAGACTACAGTTGGTCCAGAATGCAGCCGCGCGAGTGATTGTGGGTGTTCCTCGGTACACCCACGTTACATCTATCCTCCGTGAGCTGCACTGGTTGCCTATTGGTCTCCGGGTCCAATTCAAGGTGTTGGTTATTACCTTTAAAGGGCCAGGCTATTTGCGAGACCGCCTACTACCTCATAGTTCCCTTCGTCCGGTTAGATCCCACAGGTTGGGCGTCCTTCAGGTCCCGTCGGCCAAACAATGCCATTTGGCAGGGCCGCGGGGGAGGGCTTTCTCTGTGACGGCGCCCACGTCTTGGAACCAGCTCCCCCCGGAGATTAGGACCGCTCCCACCCTGTTGGTTTTCCACAAGCTGCTTAAGACCTGGCTTTTCCGGCAGGCTTGGGGTTTATAAAATCTGACCCCTGGATGAATGTTGCTGTATTGTTTGTCTTCTTAAGTTATATTGTGTTTTTATTGTTAGCCATCCGGAGTCCTGCGGGAATGGGGCGGTCTATAAATTTTAATAAATAAATAAATAATATCATTAAACTACTTTAGTTGCCCATCTTACACCTTGAATAAAGGAATAGCAGAATTTTAAGAATATAAGAAAGCAGTAGGAATCTTCAGGACCTGTTTTTCTTAGAATAAAGTGTTTCAGAATGTTAAGTGCCCAAGCTATGCTTTGCAGATAAATAAAATTCTATCATTGGCATCCATTTAGCTTAATTGCCTACACTTTTCAAGGTTGACCTACAATTTCCCCAACCTGGGTGGGTGTGGTAATAAGATCAGTTCTTCTAACCCTCAGTAGCATGCTGTCTTGGGAATTCTGAGAGTTGGAAGTTCTCCGATTGTAAATTTGCCAGGGCTGAGAAATGCTGAGCTAGATTAATTATAAGGTATATGATTACATATTAATTGTAATATAAACTATAAATTAATTAGAGGCTTTGCATATAGTCAGTAGATGTTCTGATATACACTTTCTCTTTGCAGGCATGGTGGATGTCATTTTTGCAGATGTGGCTCAGCCCGATCAGTCACGTATTGTTGCCTTAAACGCACACAACTTTTTGAAGAACGGTGGTCATTTTGTTATCTCCATCAAAGTAAGGCTTTAATCTTGATTGTTTTATTTTCTGGCTGTAGAATGTTGGGCCAATAGGGGAATGGTATGATCATTGTTAACAATCACTGCATTGTATTCCTGTATTAGATGGAAGTGGTAAGGTGTCCCCTAATCTAGTTGGAGTTGAGGATTTGGTATGCTTACACGTTCCCCTGTCTTCCAGGCCAACTGTATTGATTCAACAGCGGCCCCGGAGGCAGTCTTTGCATCAGAAGTAAAGAAAATGCAGCAGGAAAATATGAAACCCCAGGAACAACTGACTTTGGAGCCCTATGAGCGAGATCATGCTGTGGTGGTTGGCATGTACAGGTATGGGGAAACCAGAGGCCACTGGTGGAATTCTGTGTGCTTCCCGAGATTTGGCAAGGTAGTATTTAATCCTCAGTAAAATATAATCTTTTCGTCCATCATTATCCACCCTCCAGCAACAGCAGCTATAATGCCCTTGCTTATCCAGAATCATTCAAAATACTCACTATCTCATTTAACCTTCATACGTGTAAGCCCTATATCAACCTTATCCCTAATAATAGCATTTTTTGTCCATCTAATCTAGTATTGTGTCTATTGAAAAATATCTCTCCAAGTGCCTTTTTCATCAATTGCATCTCTCCCTTTCATTGGATGATGTCAAAAAGGCTTAATCTGGGACTCAGCATATAGTACATGCAGTTTTTCTTGAACTTGTGACACTGGGTGGATCAGGGACATGTCCTGGCCTACTAATCATTCAAACTTGAGATAAGTCTGGACATTTTTTATTTTTGGTTCACTGTTTGACTATCTCTTGCCTCCTGGAAAACCAGCCTACTATTACCGTTATATCTCTGAGTCTTTCTTTGCAGCTATAGCAAAGTCTGATGCTGAGATAGAGCCTTTCTTGTTGTTCATAGATTACCTCCGAGTCTGTATAAAACTTTGGAATGCAGATAGATACTTTTATGAATGAAGACTTTATTAAAAGGTTCTGTAGGCAAATCCTGAAAATATTGAATTGTACAATGGATCGTTTTGCCATGTACAAAGGACTGAAGTGTCCCTGTTTATTTCCAATTCAGGTAGCAGATTCTCCCCTTTCTATTTTGTCTATAAACGTAAAAAAAAAATTAATCTAATCTTCCTTCTCTTACAGACCGCCGCCTAAACCGAAGAAGCAAAACACATAAATAGTTGATGCCCATTGCAATAGGGGCAAAAGGACTTTTCTTACTTTTTATGTCAGGATTCTTGCTATTGCCTGGGACTCAGCAGTCTTAAGATGCTGTACTGCATCTATGTTCCGAGGCATTCTGAAATGTGTATATTTTTTTATTAAAATAAGTAATATAGAGACCTACTAGACTGTTTGTAGTTTTGAGGGTGAGGCAAAACTTGGAAAACTTAACTCAGACTGAATCAAGGAACTTGAGCCCAACTCTTTCATTCATTAACTGTGCTTACATACTGCCTAGTATCTGCATCCACCATTTTAAAATAACTGTATATGTGAAGTATTAAAACACCTCCCGTCCTAAAACAATGTTAAAGTAGATTAAATGAAATTTGTATAGAGTGTTGCCTCTTAGATGTTAAGGTGATTTATTTCTGTTATGATTGACCATTTTCAGATTTGTTTTATTTTTGCTTCCAAGTCTGTCTTGACTCTTGGCAGCTGCATGGGCAAATCCCAGCGATTCTCTTGGCAACATAGCTTAGAAATGGCTTGTCACTGTCTTTTTCCTAAGATTGAGAAAGACTGGCCCAAAATCACCCAAGCTGCTTCATGTCTGATGCAGAAGAATTCATGATCTCTTGGTTTCTAGCTGGGTGCTTTTAACACCAAACTGACTCTCATCTCCAATTAAAGCCTTACAGAAAAAAATTCCCCTATGCGTTGGATTCAGGTACAGTTCAGATTGACATTCAAATTGATATAAGATGGGGAGGAAAGCCAAAATGGAATGTCGGAGGAACTATTATACTATAAAAGCCTTATAAAAGTAGCTTTTTTAAAAAATGATTTATATAGAATCTTTCCGGAAAACAAACCCCAGAGTTATGGGAATTATAAATCATATCTGCTGGTACTTGCTGATTATTGTCAATTCTAACAGATTTTCAGGGTTGGTGAGGTAGATACTTATACTGTATGTGATAGCTGTTTGACAATGTATAATTCAAAATGTTTACTATCTTAAAAGAGGGAAAGAAACCTGGGTATGCAGTTTAATTTCAGGAATAAAGAACAGTGAATAGGGAGCTGTAATGAAAAATGTTCACACAAATTTTGGGGTTTCTGTAATAAACTAGCAAAGTGAAGAGCTAAGCCTCAGAAGGAGCATCCCAGTTCTTTGTAAGTAGCCAAAGAACTGTAAAAAGAATAGCTCTTTTTCACTTTTTTTTTTAAATCTTCTGGTCCAGATGCACTAGTTATTTCCAAAGCTTCCCTGACACACGACTACTGCATATTGCAGTGGCACCATCCATAGGTAACGCCACCAGATTCTATGCTCCAGCATCTTTATGCCATTAAGGTAAGGTTAGTCCAAGATTTCAGACCGGCAGATGCTAGGTGTTCTTAGCATTTGCAATAGTGGTGAATATTCTTAGCATTCTCTACTGATGGCACTCAATGCCTCTTAAAGTTGTTCAGCAGTAGCGATGTTGAAGGGTTTTTTTCTTCTTCTCCAAATTGCTTTTATTAAATACTGTCCAGAAAGGGTTGGGGTTCCTGTGCATTATTTCATGTTCGCGTTATGAAACCTGGACGTGTTAGGTTTTTAAAAACGGTTTAATCTTCAGCAGCAACTGATTGGGGGTGGGAAAAAGAATTTCCCCCGCGCTGCTCCTTCTCAGGGGTGATACCAAGGAGAGGGATCCGGAGCTTGCGAAACTGAAATGTGCTAATCCTACCCCATCGATTTGCAATATCGTCAGGGCATTGCAGAGCGCGTTAACTCCAGCCCCCCTCACCGACCAAACCTTGAAAATTAGCTCAAGGAAAATCTCTCTCTCTCCAACGCGGCAATAGATCGCTTTCTCCGTTTCTACTTACACCTGGAAGACCTTTGAAAAACCTAAAGGGAGTTTTCCTCCCCCCTCCCGCTCGCTCTTCAATGGTGCAGCCCATAATGCTACCCTTTCCTTCTATGTCACGTAGAAAATGTTCTAGGCTTCGTCGATGCCATTCTGCAAATGGGGCGGGGGGGGGGATGCCGAGATTGCCTATACGCCCAGCTGCACGGGCTGCAGACTCTGACGCATGCGCACCCTCGGCAGGGAACGCACCTTCGTAGCGGGCGGGCGTCCATTTCTCTCTTTGCCTCCCCATCCCCCCGTCGTTTCTCTGCTTCTCCCGGCCCGCTGCCTCACGTGGCTACGCCGACGGGGCGCATGCGCTTAGCGGCGACAGCGGAGGCGGTTTGTTGTGGTCGCCATTTTTTGTTGCATTACTGGGAAATCCCGGCGCCGGAGCAGCCGCCGGAGAACGCCCCTTGCGCTGGGGGTGGGGGCGCAAGACGCCCGCCTGCCGCGCCCCGCCCCCAGCGCGCTTCTCCTCCTCAGCCCCAGCTTTGAAACACGCCGCGGGCCGCAGCCGCCTCCTCAGGTAAGAGACCCGCCCGGCTGTCGCTCCCTCGCCTCCCGCCCTCCCGTTCACCTTAGGGCCCTTCCCAGCGCGAAGAAGGGAGCGGGAGCGGGGCAGGCGGAAGAGCCTCCGGGGCGCTTCAGCAAGCTCCCGCCCGCCTTCCCTCCACCTCACAGCCGGGCTGCGGCGGGCAGCTTAGCCCAGCGAGCCGGGTTGCCTCGTCAGGCCCCGCCCCTGTCCGGCTCTCCGGCTTCGCCTCGGGCGGAACCCCGCTCGGCCTCCCGTCCGTCCCGCCCCGCCCTCGTCCCCTCCCCGACCCCACCCTGATTCCCTCGCCGCCGTCGCCTTTTTCTCCCAATTCCTGACCCCCAAACTTCTGCCCGCCGCAACCTCCCGGCTGCTGGCTTCAGAATAGGCCCGGCCCGCTGGATCGGATTCGCCGCCGCCGCCGCCTCCTTTTTTTCTTGCGCGCTGCTGCTGCTTCTCTGGTGGTGGTGCATGGACGGCCCATCTCTCTTCTCTCTCTTTTCCTTGCCTTCGTGATAGTCAGTTTCAACCAGGCTCTCTTTGCTTCTTTTCCTTTCTCGCCCCCCCCCCCCTTTCGATACCTTTTCCAAAAGGAATGAGATCTGTTCTGGCATTCATCCATTTCTATTTCGGAGCTTTTTTTTTTAATGCATTATGATTGCTGATGCTGTTACAGTTGCTAGAATCATTGCTGCTCAAGATCAGCGATGTACTAGTAAAATTGAGGTTCCAGTCAATTCGGTCGTCTTTAAGATATCACAGGATTTGGTGGTGTTCCCCCCCCTCCCCGTCCCACTTTATTTTTCCAGAATTTGTGATGGATAAATATCTCTGGGTGAGCTGACTGCTCTGTACTGTGCTTAAAAACACTAGCACAGATTGTGTCTCTGGTATGTGTGTGTTTTATAATCTTGTATTACAATAAAATCCATTTGCAACCCTTTAACCATTATTTCAATGTTTGGTATTCAGGATACATGAAGAGATAGTTAGCTCTCCTAACTTTGGACAAGTTAGGATCTAAAGGCCCTTGTTTTTCCAAAAGTATAAATTGTGCCTCAGTGTGCCCCATTATTTTTAGGAGACTGTTGGTTGAAGATTTAAGTTGGATAAACCTGAACCTTAAAATAAAGTGTCTATATTGATCTTAATGGGGTGAATTGATTGCTTTAGGATTTATCTTTAGGGAAGCAAAATTATGTTTCCCTCACATCATTTAAATCTTGTGACATGTAGTATATTTGCTTCTGTTTCTGTCACTCTTCTTGAAATTCATGACCTTCAAATGCTTTCCTTGTCCTAATATATATTGTATTTTTGCCATTGCCCCCCAACCAAATGAAATTTAAAAAAACTCATAATTGCCATCTTGCCTCAGTATTACTAATTCTAGTGTGACCTGTTTCTTATCTCCTGTCTGAGTTTATTAAGTTAAATATAAATGCCACCATAAATAATGCTAGCAGTTGTAACAATATAATTCAGAATAGTTATGAATTGTAGGAGCAGAGAATGGAAAAGCTCCTTGATGCCAATAAGTTTCAGGAGAAATTCATGGTGAACCTATTAGTGCTTCTCAGAAATAAATACCATTGTGTTCAGTCAGGCAATGTAAAGCTGCAATCCATTTTTGCCTGGCTATAAACCATAAAAATATAGTGAGACTTATTTTTGACTAAACATTAATAAAATTATACAATGTAGATAATTCACAATAATGTTTGGAAAATAAATTGCACTACATATTTGCCATCAGTAAGTGATGGAATTAACTTAATTCTCTAATCTGGACAGGTACTAGCATATATAAACACTGCTTTTATGACAAAAATGTTAAAGTAATATATCAATCAATATGGTTTTTGACTATTATAAAATAAGTGTTTAGCAAATAACTCAGCTGCTGAGTTCCAAAAAATGCTGTATTAGTTTGTCAAGCTTAAGTAGCACAGAGTGATTTTGTTTGTTTGGAAATATTGTAGATATTGATGGTAGGTTGGATTCCTGGAATTCTCAGCTGTTCCTGAATTGAATCTGATGTTGTTCATTGAGGTTGGGATTGGCTTATGTGGTGTTGTATACAGCCTTCACATTTCTCTGTTAATATCCAATTTGTGCAATAACATATTATGAAACTGTTCGAAAGGCATAAATAATTATGGTTTCAGACTAAATTGTTGTTGTGCTTCTTGTTTAGTCTAACTCTTGCATGGTTTAATTTGTGAAGATTTAGTTTGATTTTTGTGGAACCCTGTTCTTGATCAAATTTTGGCTGGATCATTGAAAACCTGGACGCTTTTGTGACCAAAAGCTCATCGCCCCAAAATGGAGGAGCTTTTGGTCACAAAGATTCAGACTTGAGTGATTGTGTGTGTGTGTGTGTGTGTGTGTGTGTATCCATCCTAGTTTTAAATTTCTTGTGAATGCTGCTCTAAGATCATAATACCCTATATAACTATACTAGTGGTATTGGGTAGTGGAAACAAGTAATATAATTGTCTGCTTGGTTATTGGGAGGCAACAAAAAGAGCATCACTGATAAGTGAATTCTGTTATGCAAAAGTGAATGTAAACCAGGAAAGCTGAAGAGAATTTAATGGATATGAGGCAATGGAAATCATTGGCAAAGGACCATGGGATGATAGGTTATACAGTCCATGAACTTTAGCAGGTAGAATAGGGAGTTGAAATTTTGTTAGGAGAGAAAAGCAGCCTTGGAAGTATAAAGAATACATTGTGGACTTGGTTACTTCTGAAGATGAGGGGACGGATACTTCATCTTGAAAATCCAAGTAGATAATTTCTCTAGCTTACTCTGCTGTTTAGGTATGTTTTGCTTATTTTTTGTAGTTCTAGAACCTTCCATATTTGGGCTAAAGTTCAGGGTACTTTCTGCACTGAAAGAAATGAAATTGCCCCAGGGAACATATAAAGGTTACCACATTAGAGGCATTTCCTGTTGTTGCAAACTGATACTATGACATTTGCTGATATGTTGATAAACATAATAAAGATAAGTTCCAGTTATTTCTGTGACAGAACTGAATGATTTCATAAATCTGTATATAATGAAAGGTAACATACTTGAGAGTCTCTAGCCCAATATAAATGATTTTGAATAACAAGCCATTGTTTCATTGCCCAAAAACAAGAATTTGGATTTTTCAGTTGGATATTGAGAGGCTAATACTTTTACATGTTATTAATGAGAAATATCTCTAGTGTATAAGAGACATCATTTTTGACAATCACAGAGCTGAAGAAACAACAGAAAATTTCATTACTCTGTTACAAAAGGGTTAATTCATATGTCAATTTAAAGTTAATTCTTGAATCCACAGAGTACCATAAACCAAGAATGGGTATACTATAAAAAAGGTTCTGTAAGAACATCTAATTTGGTAATTCAACAAGCAAGTCAAGATATATACTTCAAATTCATAATGATTACATTTTCCTTTAAAGTGAAATAGTTTGTTCCATGGTTCATATTCAAGAATCTAATTCACTGGATGTAGCTTTCCCCCCAGATTTATCACTTTTGCACTAGTTGTCTAGAAACCAGTTCATGGAGGATGCCAAAACATAATTTCCTATAGGCAACCAGGGTAAATTGCCGTAGACACTAAAATACAAGTATCCTGCAATGACATTTATGGAGTATGGCTGAATTGCAGTCACCTGTATGGCTAACCTAGAGTATCACTGTGTTATGTAGAAATAGCTTGGATGAGGTCTTAAACTTGATGGAACATGGAGTCATGTTAGCCAACAGTTTTTATTTCTAAAGAGAAACTAAAATGCCATAGGATATGTAAAATACAAACTAATATTAAGCTATATTTTATCATCTTGAGAAATTATTTTCTGTTAAATGTAAGCATGGACAAGAATGTTATAATCTGAAAGTTATAATTGAATCCATGACTTTCAAAAAGTAGTTTCGGTTTCTGTAAATAGAGAGTTTTTATTACTAGTCTGGTAGGTTGCTTTAATTTTCCTGAATACTATGAAAACACAAAACTCTTAGCTGCTTGATTATTCTAATACTGTATAGTTTTAAAACTTGGCTCAACATTGTATGTTAATTTAATAGGAGTTATAGG